GATTTTTCATAACAAGTCAAGTGTCATTAACGTCAGTAATTCATCGGGTGATGTTGATTGACTTTCGCCAAAATCGAAATTCTATTGAATTTTAATCGATTTCGAGTCGATTTTAAACTGTTTCCTGGGAAATTTAGTCATTTAAATCAAATAAATGATTGTAATAATGAATTAAATGAAATATTATTACATTGTTTATCAAGTAAAGTAGAATAATAAATACTATTTAGCCTGATAACGAGCGAATTGAATTCACCTCAATCATTAAAAAATTTTCCTGTTTCCCAAAAAAACAAAAAAATTTATTCAATTAAAAAAACCATTATCATCCAACAATATCAGTCTTACCTTCTACATTGTCTCCACTTCCGCGTACAATGGCACCAGCCGATAAAATTAAAAAGTCACCTACATAAATACAACTCATGAATGGAATGCCCGCACTCAATTAACCGCCTCTCCCCCTAGCGCACTCGTCCACAGCTGCACTTGCCAGATTTCGGCATCGACTTCTTCCTAAAAATCCCCAATCTCGAGAGTAAAATCTGTCACCAGAATTCACCTCGGAATTTTCCCCCGATTATTTTATTCAAATTATCTATTCCCACTTGGCCGACAGCGTGACGACCCAACAATGAGTTTAAACGTTTAAACTGACCCCCTCATGTGTGCGTATGTACCACAGACTCATACACATTCATCATGTCACGAGAGTTCGCGCATAAATCCAAGTGCCTATCCCCTGCCAGCATTTCCCGTTCTCCTCTGAATTGAAAAAATAATAATAAACAAGTCACGTAATCCAGGAAAAAAAGTGCCTAATCGAATCACCAATTGAGCCCTGGAATTTAAAGAGTCGTTTAAAGTCCCAGTCCGGTATTTTCTCGCAGCGAAAAAAATCCAAGTCAAAGAACCCAGCAGAGGAAAGAAGACGTCCTTGAAACTCACTTAGGTTTCACGATTGGCTCGACTCATAAATATTTCAAACTGCAGCATCGCCAACGCCTGTTGAATTGTTGCAACAGATAAATCAAGTCCTGATTGAAGAGAGAAAAAAAAATCCATTAAAGGTCGTGTGTCAGTAACTCATCGTTTAATGATAAATAATCGGTGATTATTTCAGCGCGAATATTATGAAACATTGTTTCTTTCCTTGTATTCGATAAACTCGTTCAAACTATTTCTCACATCAATCACAAAACTGATAACAAACGCAATATCGGTACAGACAGCTATATTCAATATTCAAACTTAAAGATAGGTATTTTCAGTCGTAAGAAAAATTCTCGTATGAACAAAATGTCACAAGTGTGCAGGTGGAAAATATTCTACGTTAATTTCATTGCATTCGTAACACCTCAGTCACACTAACAATCGTCCCTCTCAGAGACTGCCTCAATATTGTTACAAATAAATATGAGATAAGCGTAAATAATGCCTCACGTACACATTCTCAATTACTCAATCATTGTATTAAATGGTATTACCTCCCTCGTGTCACTTTTTCGATACTTAAAAATAAATCTGCACCATTCGAAGCCGATGTATATCACACAATCCCTCGAATACTGTTCCATCACCTCGGAAAGGAATAAAATTTAGTCTGCGGTTGTCTGAGTAGTTCAAGCGGTGCTCAACATTCAAAGCCGCAATAACGTGAATGTACATTTATATTCCACATGTCAATGGCTAGAGATCAATCTACAGCTAGAGAGACGTGTGCTCCTCGCTCGCGAGACTATCCGTATCGTCGGTGTCGGAATTTGTGGCTGGCTGGACTCTAGCGTATTCGTCGGTGTCGATGCTCTTGCAGAAGTGAATAGCGTATTTCAGTTTTTGCCGGAGTACAGATTTGCAGGAGTAACGAGGCATTTTCAGGAGGAAGAAGCATGTGTAGCTCTCGGGCAGAAAGTGGTCGGGGGGATTGTACTTGTCCATCACCTGGAAAATTCGATAAATTCGAAATTTTGAAATGAAATAAAAAGGCAAATTCAGGGAGTTATCGAAGAATTCAGGGGATTGAGGGTCAGGATTTTTTGTGCTGTATCAACCTATTGAGGACTGTCGAGCTCTGTCGATCGACATTAATTTAAATTTCATTCATATATATTTTTTTTTAAATTTTTGAGTTTTTTTTAAAGCGGTTGTCCCACAATAACTTGGAAAAACGATCTACTTCGACTTTACTTTCATCGAATAAATGAATGGTATAGATATACATTGTTTCATATTTGGAATTTCATCAAACATTAAACTAAATTAAAAATATAACACAATTGATTAAAGAAGAAATTTCATTGAATTTAATAAAATTATATGTAACGATGGACTATAATACGATAGAGTCACACACACAATGCATACTTCAGTGGAAATTGTGCTTTTATCGAAGACGAATGATTTCGGGGGTAAATGTCAAGAGAATTATTGAAGAAGAACAAATTTTCCATGTGATAGCAAAGGAACTATTTTTTCAACCGAGTTTTCGGGGGATATCTCCGAATCTAAGGGAGATATCAAAATTTTCGTAATGACCTTTTTTACAGCCCGCAGTTTCCTCCACAAAAAAGCTAATAACAAAAATTTCTGTATCTGCCTTAGATTCCGAGATATTCAACCATTTTTCCGCTTCGTTACTGAATTATTTCACTACCCCCAAAAAATGAATGCAAACTTCATAAAATGCCTTGTGCAAAATATCTAGAGTCCACCCTCACCCCGTGGCCCCCCAAAAACGACTAATTTACCTGAAGAACAAAGTATCATTCCCCTTAAAGGGACCGCTATTAAAAATGGCAAAAATTTCCATGTGATCTAAACAGGAACATTTTTCTCAACCGAGTTTTCGGCTTATATCTCCAAATCCAAGGGAGATATCAAAATTTTCGTAATGACCTTTTTTACAGCCCGCAGTTCCCTCTACAAAAAAGCTAATGACAAAAATTTCTGTATCTGCCTTAGATTCCGAGATATTCAGCCATTTTCCGCTTCGTTACCGAATAATTTCATTGCCTCAAAAAAAAAAAAAAGAAATTACCTGGAGAACAAAGTCCCGTCCCCTGAAATCAGCGATGGTCCTCGGCAGCCTCGTCCTCCCCCACACGAACCTCAAGAACAGAGACCTCTCCTGATTGGAGAACTCCTCCATGACCTCCCAGAACCACTGGACGAGCCCCGAAGTGGCCTCAATCCCCTTGTAAGTGGCCACCGACTTGAGCAGCCCCAGAGGAATATCGGGACTCCCACAGACCATGGTCTCCAGTTCCGCCCCACTGAACAAAGCGAGCAGAGGGACAGGGATGACCTTGGCCATGCCCTCCCTCACAGCCCTGACCTGGACATCGAACTCGTGAAGCCTGTAGTTCAGCGCCAGCCTGACATACTCATGCCTGTTCTCAGGTGCGATTTTCCTGTACCTATTGGACAGAGGGACATCCTGGCCAGCAGCCGATGGCGTGGAGAAGGGCATCTCAAGGGTCTGAAAGACCTTCTCATCAGGATCCATGTCCCTGATGCAGAGCAGCCCAGGAACATAATCCCTGTCGATCTCCGTGAGATCCCCAGGTGTCAGAGCAATCCCCGCCAGTTGTTTCCAAACGGGTTCAGCCAGATTCAAGCTCAATGGGCTCCCAGTTCTGATAGCAATCCCCATGAGAATCCCCAGGAACTGGAACATGTTCATGTGCAGGGAGGACTTGGCAGTGGGATTCAGGAGAAAGCAGTCCCTGTTGGTTCCACTGTCGTCCCTGCCGTTGGGGGTGGGTATGAACAGTGGTAGTGAGCCATTCTGGAGTTCATCGCACATCTCGGCGATGCTCTCGCTGTACCCCCCGCCGCAGTCGTCGACGCTCTCCCCCACGAACTTGACCTTCCAGACCCTGTGAGGAAGGAACAGAACGTCCTGGGTCAGGAGGGCCATCTTGGCCACCATCTGGCCAAAAACGGACTTGATCCCGTCAGGACCAGCGAGCCCAGTGCCCTTGCTCCTCGCCCTCTTCACCTGAATCCTGTTCAGCTCGATGACTGGGCCGTGCTGTCTGTCCCTCACCATCGTGGCCTGCACGACCTTCCTGAAGGTGGCCTCCTTGATGCTGTAAACCAGCATTGGAGCAAGCTTGTTCAGCCCAATGTGGCCAGCTATCGGGAACATGACTAGTGAGGGGCACAGCAGTTCGGCGAAGTGATGCAGGAGCACCAGGCGATTGTGGAGAGCTGAGAAAGGAAGGTCTTTCACGAGGTCGTACTCCATGGGGGTGGAGGCTGGCAGTTTACTCTGGGTGGCTTTGGTCGTGCTCCATGCGAGGGTGTGGGCGCTGCCGCACGCCACTCTCGTGATCTTCTTCCCTTGGAGGGCGTGGACGAGCCTGGGCCGCTGGAGGGCACTCGTGGTGCCGTCCCCCAGCTGGCCCTCGTCGTTGTCCCCCCAGGTGAACACCTCCCCCTTGTCGGAGCAGGCGACGCAGTGCAGGGAACCAGTGGCTATCGAAATTATCTTCTTTCCCTGGAGGGCTGCGACCTTTCTGGGTCTTCTCACGTGGTCGTCCGTGCCGTGGCCCAGGCGGTGGTAGTCACCCTTCCCCCAGGTGTAGACAGCCCCTGACCTGATTGATTCATTGAGGTTTATTCACTGCGTACAGCACAATTTTTTTTATGCTGTGTACAGCATAATGTATTATGCTGCAGAAATTAAACATTACGTAAATCAGTAGCGATGGGGTCGAGCGGTTCAAGTCAATTTAGTCTTTAGTTGGGTTTTCCAGAAATATTTGCACATTTAAGGATGTATTACAAATATAAAAGAAATGAATAAATTAAATAAATAAACGAAATAATTCATCCCGAGGGCTTAAATAAAGCCAAAAAAATCTGCAAAAGCACAATTTTTTTTTATGCTGTGTACAGCATAATGTATTCTGCTGCAGAAATTAAACATGACGTACATCAGTAGCGATGGGGTCGAGCGGTTCAAGTCAATTTAGTCTTTAGTTGAGTTTTCCAGAAATATTTGCACATTTAAGGATGTATTACAAATATAAAAGAAATGAATAAATAAAATAAACGAAATAATTCATCCCGAGGGCTTATATAAAGCAAAAAAAATCTGCAAAAGCACAATTTTTTTTTATGCTGTGTACAGCATAATGTATTCTGTTGCAGAAATTAAACATGAAGTAAATCAGTAGCGATGGGGTCGAGCGGTTCAAGTCAATTTAGTCTTTAGTTGAGTTTTCCAGAAATATTTGCACATTTAAGAATGTATTATAAATATTAAAGGAATAAATAAATAAATAAATAAATAAATGAATAAAATAAAGTAAATAAAATAAATAAAATAAATAAAATAAATAAAATAAATAAAATAAATAATTCATCCCGAGGGCTTAAATAAACCCCAAAAAATCTGCAAAAGCAAAATGATAAAACCTGAAAAATCAGGCTGACGAAAGGTGTAAAAATGCAAGAAATTACCTGGTGAGAGCGACGGAGAACTGGCTCCCGCACTCGACCTTGACGACCCCGAGGCCGGCCAGCGACTCAATCTTCATGGGGGTCTTGCACCCATCGCTCCCCCCTCGCCCCAACTTCCCGTAGTCCCCGTCCCCCCAGCTCCACACGTTATCGTCATCAGTGACGCACAGTGTCTGGGCATCCCCACTGCCGCAGGCCACATCGACAGCCTTATAATCCTGGAGAGCAGCGACGATCTTCGGTTTCGTCTGATCGTCGCTGTCCCCGTGCCCCAGCCGCCCATACCGCCCCTTCCCCCAGGTGTACAGCAGCCCAGCGCCGCTGACGGCAGCACTGTGATGCCCCCCGCACGCGATATCAACGATCTCGGTCCCCAGAAGCGCCTCAACGAGCTTCGGCCGATCGTACGACATCCTGTTGCCGTGCCCCAGCTTCCCGTCGTCCCCCTCCCCCCAGGAGTAGACGTGGCCCTCCGACGAGAGGGCGAGACAGTGCTTTCCCCCCGAGTTGACGGCGATCTTCTTGATGAAGACGTGTTGAATGGACTCGAGGAGTGTCGGCACCATCACCGAATCCGTCCCCCCGATCCCCAACCTCCCGACAGCGCCGTACCCAGTGGCGTATATTTTCCCATCAGCAGTGACAGCGAAGAGGGTTTGCTCCCCTCCCGCGAGCTGAACGGGCCTCAGTGCTGACAGACTCTCGCAGGGGGACGGCAGCTTGACCTTGGCCCCCTCGAGGCCCCCCAGCTGGCCCCTGTGGTTGTGCCCCCATCCGTATATCGCCCCTGAGCCGTCCCAGGAGAGGGTCCAGTCCTCGGGTCGCCTGTTCAACCAAAGGAGCAGCTGTTCGTCGTGCTCTCGCTTGAATAGCTCGTGATTCTCGTGGGGTGGTTTACCGTGGCTGTGGCCCTCGCCCTCTGCACTCATCATCTCGTTGATCCTCTTGGTGACGTCGAGGCAAAAGCTCTTGGGCAACGCCGACCTGTTGACGAGGGCCTTGGCGACCCTCGCGGCGAGGCAGTACCGCTTGAACCAGGACCACTTGTGGATCTCCGAGCAACAGGGCATTGTGTCGAGCTCCAGGTCGCAGGCGAGGCCGACCAGGACCTTGAAGAAGTCACTGTGCATCAGCTGTTTGCCCCCTCTGACCGCGGGGTCCTCGTACTCGTACTGCTTGAGAAGGGCCTGGGGGAGGGAGCCCAGGAGCGCCGACAAAGCGGTGTCACCCCTGATCCCCGGGCCGCAGCTGAGATAGACCACCTGCAGCTTCTTCAGGGCCCACATCCTCTGCTGAGCAGTTAGAATGCTCAGCTGACTGCACTGTGCCAGGCTCGCAGCGAGCCTCGAGACGATGCTCCTCTCCCCGGAATTCCCGGCAGTGGAGACGATCAGAGAGTTGTCCAGGAGGCACTCCGCCAGGGCGATCGACGGCTGGGACAGCACAGCGCGGTCTGAGCCCAGCTCGTGGGGCGACAGAATGGCGAGGATGGGGTGGACAGTGAACCTCCAGCCCCAGCCGTTGACCGAGCCGTCTGAGGTGAACCTCCAGAAGAGCTCGTCCCCCTGGATCCTGATCTCCGCTGACCACTCGCTCCACTCCCTCCCGGATTTAATCGCCACGACCCTCCCCGCCCCGTCCATTATCGTCAGGGGATCGTGCCGGCGCTCCGTCGAGCACTGCCTGTCGAACTCGACGCGGAGGGCCTCGGCCCCGGGGATCTTGACGTGCCCCGTGAGGGTAGTGTCGTCGATGTAGGGGTGAGGGGTCTCCTGGACCACCGGTTTCGGTGCGTTGCTCATGCAGTTGGAGTTTGCTGTTGTGTCCTCGAGCTCGGTGACGCACAGCTCCAACAGCATGTTCCTGACGGTGTGGGGGCTCCTGGGGGACTTGGCCAGGGCGATGAGCACCGAGGAGATGGTCTCCTTGGCGCCCTCGCAGACTCGATTGGCCACCGCCAGCTTCAGCAGATCCACCAGCATCCGGGCGTCGTCCTCGGTGATGGTCGACGTGAACTCGTCGAGACCGCTCTCAGGCTCGTGATCGTCCCCGACGACCTGGGCATGAGAGGTAAGCGTCGCCGCGATGACACTCATCGCCGCGGCACTGGTGGACATCTTGGAGGCCCTGGAGGAGAGACTGGCCGAGCTCGACATCGAGGGAAAGTAGCTGGTGATGGCCGGGGTGATCCCCTCCTCCTGGAGTCCCGTGATGGACGACGAGATGGCCCGGGGGCTGTTCTTCCCAGAGGCGCTGTGGTTGTGGGAGTGATGGTGGAGGCTCCCCACCTCCGCCGGCGCCTCCCCCCCGCCCTGGGCGATCTCCCCCACGTTCTGGTAGACCCCTGTGAGGTTTCCACTCATCACCATGGGGGTAGTGGCGATCGAGAGGTCCCCAGTGGGCGTCTCCGGCTGCGACGGGTTCTTAACTGTCCTCAGGAGGGTCGAGCCCGCGGCTGTCAGGGCGTTGTGGCTCTTCAGAGCGATGACAATGGCGGTCCTCGCCTGGATGATGTCGAGGGCGTTGATGACGTGCTGCAGCGCCTGCTGCTTGGCGACATTACTCTCGAGGGAGAGAATGATGTTCGACAGGGACGGCCTGACGTTCTTCGTCGGGATGAGCCCCGCTGACGCCTGCTCCACCGGGGAGTCCCCGAAGCCCAGGGACGCCTGCCCCAGGGGGTCTTTCCCACTGGAGAACGTCACAGGCTCCTGGTTGTTCGTGGCAGGCTGATCCGGGAGGATCCAAGCGACACTGTGGCTGGAGCCGCAGGCCACCCTGTTGATCTTCGTGTCCTCCAGGCCGTGGACCAACGAGGGCTTTCTGTTGACGATTGTCGTGCCATTCCCCTGTTGTCCGTGATCATTGTCCCCCCATGCGTAAACCTGGCCCGCGTCGGTCACCGCGAGACAGTGGAGCGCCCCCACAGCTACGTGAGTCACCTTCTTCCCCCGCAGGCCCTCCACGACGGTCGGCCTCCTGATGTGCTGATCATTCCCGTGCCCCAGGCGATAGTAGTCCCCCTTCCCCCAGGTCCAGACCTCCCCGTATTTCGTCAGCGCCAGGGAGAACTGCGCTCCACACTCGATCTGCACGACCCCGAGGTTGTTCAGCCGATCCACGAGGAGGGGGGTGTAGCACCCCCCACTCCCACCCCTCCCCAACTTGCCGAAATCGCCGTCCCCCCAGGAGTAGACGGAGCCATCCTCGGTGAGGGCCAGAGTCTGGGCGTCCTTGCTGCCGCAGGCTATCTGCACCACCCTCTGGCCCACCAGCGCCTCCACCAGCTTCGGTTTCAACTGCGTCGCCGTGTCCCCGTGCCCCAGGCGCCCGTACTCCCCCAGCCCCCAGGTGTAGAGCTCCCCGTTGCTTGAAATGGCAGCGGAGTGCCCTGAGCCGCAGGCAATGTCCCTGATCCTCTTGGACTTGAAGGCCTCTATCAGCCTGGGCTTGTCCAGGGACAGTCGATTCCCGTGACCCAACTTACCGTCCTCCCCCTCCCCCCAGGAGAAGACCTTGCTGTCCTGCGTGAGGGCCAGGGCGTGGGTCCCCCCCGAGTGCACAGCCACCTTCTTGATTATGTATTGGCTGAGAAAGGGGATCAGCTTCGGCTCGTAAACGTTGTTGTTGTCACCGAGACCCAGCCGGCCGTTGGTGCCCTCGCCGCAGGCGTAGAGCTTCCCCTCCTGCGTGACGATGAACAGGGTTTTGCTTCCCCCAGATATCTGAACGGGCTTCAACTTGGATAGAACGTCGCTGTATACAGGGAGCTTGATCTTCGAGCCCTTGAGCCCACCCAGCTGATCCTTGTCGTTGAGACCCCAGACGTAGACAGCCGAGTACTGCTGAAGCTGCTCGTGGACCCTTAAATGAAGATTAACATAAAAAATTGAAAAAAAAAAAAAACTTAAAATCAAATGATCAAATAAGGGATTTTGACTGTTTTGAGCCTTGTAACCCTGCTGTACCCCGTGACCCTTACAGCCCTTATGGCCCTTATGACCTTAAAGGTCCCAAGGGTTCGCAGGGGCACAAAGATCACCTCCGTTAGCCATTCTTGTAACATCAAATGGATTTATAATCAAATAAGGAATTTTGGCCCTTTTGATCGCTGTAACCCGTGACCCTTACGGCCCTTATGACCTTAAAGGTATCAAGGGTCCGCAGGGGCACAAAGATCACCTCCGTTAGCCCTTTTTGTAACATCAAAAATAGACTTATAATCAAATAAGGGATTTTGGCCCTTTTGACCGTTGTAACCCTGCTGTACCCCGTGACCCTTACGGCCCTTATGACCTTAAAGGTCTCAAGGGTCCGCAGAGGCACGAATATCACCTCCATTACCCTTCTTGTACCATCAAATAAACAAGGGATTTTAACCCTCTTGACCCTTGTAACTCTCCTGTGCCCCGTGACCCTTACGGCCCTCACGGCCCTTATGACCTTAAAGGTCTCAAGGGTCCGCAGGGGCACGAATATCACCTCCGTTACCCCTTCTTGTACCATCAAATAAACAAGGGATTTTAACCCTCTTGACCCTGGTAACTCTCCTGTACCCCGTGACCCTTACGGCCCTTATGACCTTAAAGGTCTCAAGGGTCCGCAGGGGCACAAAGATCACCTCCATTACCCTTCTTGTACCATCAAATAAACAAGGGATTTTAACCCTCTTGACCCTTGTAACTCTACTGTACCCCGTGACCTTTACGGCCCTCACGGCCCTTATGACCTTAAAGGTCTCAAGGGTCCGCAGAGGCACGAATATCACCTCCGTTACCCTTCTTGTACCATCAAATAGACTTATAATCAAATAACCAAATAAGGGATTTTGACGAATACCTGGGGTATCCATCCCCGACGACGACCCTTCCCCTCTGGGGAGCCCCTGAGATCTGCTCCTGCACGGTCTCCCAGTCAGAAGCCAGGAAGGACACTGACGTCGCCAACTGATTCTCGAACAGCTTCTTCTTCCCCAGGATCTGCAGGCCGTGGACCTTGCAGTCGATCCCCCCATTTCGACACTGCTTTATCGCGATCTCAATGCAACTGTAGTACTCCCTCATGTTCTGCAGCAGTGTCACACACTCGTCACTGTTCCTGACCGTGATGGTGGCCAATTCGAGAAGAGAGTTGAACGAGTCCCCCGCGTTGACGGCGATCACCGAGGGCATGTAGCTCCCGTCCTCCGGTTTAACCGTGATCTTCAAGGACTCTATGAGAATGTTGGGCATCATGTCCAGGCGGATCCAGTGCTTGCCCCTCTGCCCGCAGCTCTGCCAGAACTTGCCGGAGCCGTCGACGAGCCTCGTCGCCCAGTTGTCCCTCGAGGAGACGCTCAATGTCCTGATGCACTTGGACCAGTCGTCGATCAGCGACGACTCGGCGATGTCCTGACGGTAGTGGTACCTCCCAGGTTTTCCGGCGTACACAGCAGCCGAGCCCGGCTCGGCAATCCTGTTGAAGCCGTGGCGATGGCACCTCTTCGTGTAGAAGCAGTTCTCGCAGAGGTTGTAGTTCTCGCAGATTTTGCATTTTAGACGAGCTCCTGAGATCGGCGAGAGGTGGCAGGAGTTGCAGGTGACGGCGTGGTGGCAGGAGGGCACTCTCTCCATCTCGGACATGCAGCCAGTCCAGTTGCTCTGCTGGGGAAAGTCCACAGACACGTCTTTTCCATTATTTATGATCGCTGTCAGCACTCCCACGCTCGAGTGGTTGACCGACCCCCACTTGTACTTGGGTACCGTCACCGAGGTCTTCACCCTGACCTTGTCCCCGACCTTGAGGGCGGCTGGGGGGGTCGGCAGGGTGGGCGGGTGCCCCAGGAGCTCGATGTGGATGAATCTGACCCAGTAAGTGCCGTCCTTGTGCTGCCAGGCCACCTGGACCAGAGACAGGCGTAATCATAAATTATTATTATCATTAATTGTTTGTATGGATAGTTCTGATATGATAATAATAATATTAATATGTACACTTTCCGTCATGAACGTATTGTATATATGTATTATTAATTTTTCATTATAATCTGGTTTGACATATAACTAATTTGATTCGGTAATTGGCCTTATGCTGTCGGGTCTTCACGAAATAGAAAAATGAAAAAATGAAAATGAAAATGAAAAATTAATTTCGTAAATACTCAATCAATCGTCTTTAGAATTGTTTTCTCCCGCAATTATTATTTTTCATTCTTTAAACTACTTCATTGACTCAACAATGCGATAATCGAGTCGACAAAGTAATTTCGTGGACAGAAATTAATAATTGTAGGAGAAAACACAATTCTAAGATTTGATGTAGAAAGGGGTTCCGTCTCCCCTGAATCAACAATTTAAATATTCAAATTCCAAATCATTTTACCAATCAATAATCGAATTCGGAAGAATGACGATTAAACTACTTCATTGACTCAACAATGCGATAATCGAGTCGATACAGTAATTTCGTGGACAGAAATTAATAATTGTAGGAGAAAACACAATTCTAAAATTTGATGTAGAAAGGGGTTCCGTCTCCCCTTAATCAACAATTTAAACATTCAAATTCCAAATCATTTTACCAATCAATAATCGAATTCGGAAGAATGACGATTAAACTACTTCATTGACTCAACAATGCGATAATCGAGTCGATACAGTAATTTCGTGGACAGAAATTAATAATTGTAGGAGAAAACACAATTCTAAAATTTGATGTAGAAAGGGGTTCCGTCTCCCCTTAATCAACAATTTAAACATTCAAATTCCACATTATTTTACCAATCAATAATCGAATTCGGGAGAATGACGATTAAACTACTTCATTGACTCAACAATGCGATAATCGAGTCGATAAAGTAATTTCGTGGACAGAAATTAATAATTGTAGTAGAAAACACAATTCTAATATTTTATGTAGAAAGGGGTTCCGTCTCCCCTTAATCAACAATTTAAATATTCAAATTCAAAATTATTTTACCAATCAATAATTGAATTCGGAAGAATGACGATTAAACTACTTCATTGACTCAATGCGATAATCGAGTCGACAAAGTAATTTCATGGACAGAAATTAATAATTGTAGGAGAAAACACAATTCTAAGATTTTATGTAGAAAGGGGTTCCGTCTCCCCTGAATCAACAATTTAAATATTCAAATTCCAAATTATTTTACCAATCAATAATTGAATTCGGAAGAATGACGATTAAACTACTTCACTGACTCAACAATGCGATAATCGACTCGATAAAGTAATTTCGTGGACAGAAATTAATAATTGTAGGAGAAAACACAATTCTAAGATTTTATGTAGAAAGGGGTTCCATCTCCCCTTAATCAACAATTTAAATATTCAAATTCCAAATCATTTTACCAATCAATAATCGAATGCGGAAGAATGACGATTATTTGACAACCCCTAATATTTCTTAGGGAATTTTAAATTATTTACCTAATAGTCATTTGAAAAAATTAAATTCTCAATGACTTTATTATTTTCGAGGTTCCAATGATAAATGAAATGAATTCGTTTATTTCGGGGAAAAAATCTCCTAATACTTCTGGAATAATGACTGATGCCAATGACTGACCTGGACGTTGAGGTCGTGCAGCCCCTCGGGGTCGATCTTGACGACCTGTCCGATGTCCCCGTACTCCACCTCCTCGTAGCTCTTGCAGCACCTCACCAGCATGCCGACGGTGACGTTGTCCCTGACGTACATGGCGTACTCGTCAAAGGAGAGAAAGTCTGAGCGCTTCATGAAGCTCTGGGGGGCGTTGGCAGCGGCTGTGAGGACGTCGTCGTAGGACGCCGGGAGGATGACAGGTGTCGTAACTCCAGTGATAGATAGGGACTGCTCGTTGCAGTCCTCGCTGGAGGAGTCCTCGGAGTCGTCGGAGCCGGCGTCTGAGCTGGACAGCAGGAGAGTCTCCGAGTCCCCGAAGACGGTTTCAGCCTTCTCCAGGAGCCAGGCGACGACGTTCTCAGGGGTGATGTTGCCGCCCTCTGTGATGCTGAGGTTCCTGATGGCGAACTCCACGCTCTTCCTGGGGAAGCCCATCTCCGTGAGCTGGGTGACGAGGGGGTTTGAGGCCTGTCGAGAGGTGACGATCTTCTTTCCACTCCTGCAGTGCCTCCTCTGGCTGGAGGACAGGGAGGCCAGGGAGCAGTCCGACGTCGGTGTCGTGGGCTCGGAGACGATCCCCGGGTTGTGGACACCAGCTCGTTGTCGCAGCTCGACCGCCAGGTACTGGGAGACGGCGAGGGCCGCCCCCTCGAGCTCGTCCCTCTTGAAGATGGGCTTCAGGGGCTGGGGCTTGATGGCCCTCACCAGCAGCTCCTGGAAGAGGATCCTCCCCTCGGTCTCCTCCCTGCCGTCCTCCTCGTCCTGATCGAGCTTCTCGGCTGTTATCAGGGACAACGGGCACTTGAGCACCTGCCGGAGCCTCGTCTGGTGCTCCAGGAGAGTTCGCCCCGCGTTCAGAGCCGCCAGCTGCTGCTGCTGGGTCCTGAGGATCGAGGCGTTCACCACTCCTGCTATCACAGGCATCCCCGAGCCCGGCCTCCTGCCGTTCAAGTTACTGTTGTTGGTGTTCCCGAGGAGCAGAATGTTCGCCCAGATCGACAGCAGGGACTCCGTCATCGGCATTCTCTCCAGGTGAAACTTCTCGGAGACGTTCCTCACCCCTGGGAATGGGACCTTCCTCAGGACTCCCGTCCTCCCGCTGTCCTCGTGCATCTGGAGGACCAGCTTCGAGTGGGGGGTGAACCTGCTGACGATCCCCACTTCGTTATCCACCTCGACGGTCCCCCCGATCCTCGGGCGATTGTCCAATCCCCCGACGACAATCAGCGCTGCCATCACAGTCTGCTGGATGGCCATGCTGTGCTCCCCTCCATTCTCGTTCATCCTTATGTGGAAGAGGGGTCCATCGTTCAGCAGATCCGACGCCAGAGACAGCTTCGAGGCGAGGTAGCAGTTGAGGGGGAGCTGCCACCCTGGCAGCAGGTGCAGCCCTCGAATCATGAGGATCATCTCTTCGGCGAGGGTCGAGCTGTGGGAGGCAGTGATGGAGACCCTGCACTTGGTGGCATGAAGATCGATGGCTTCCCCGGAGGAATTCACTGTGTTGGCAGCACAGTGCAGCCCAATCTGCCCCAGTAATTTAAACAATTTCTCCAACAGGTGAGTCATCTCCCCCTCGTTCTCAGGCCAGGACTTGAGGACAGCGAACAGCAGCTTGATGGCCATGATCTGCTTGGAGAGGCTGGCCTCAGACTCCTCGGAGATGATGCTGAGGAGAAAGTCGATCCAGGCGGGGGTGCTGAGGGCCTGGCAGAAGGACACCTGGGAGTTGGCGATGGTCTTCAGCAGCCCCAGAGTCGCCCAGGAGTCGTGATGCTCCTTGGCGAGATCAGCAGCACTCGAGCTGCCATGACCCCCAGGTTTATTAGCCGTGGAGATGATGCCCCTGACGATGGAGACCAGAGTCCTGATGGCCGTCCTGTCGACGCCGTTGGCATTCACCCCACACGACAGGAGAATAATCCTCAGGAGGTTGGTGGAGGCCCCCTTGAGGTAAGTAGTGGGATGAAACTCTCGGTTCCCCAGGAGGACGTCCTCCCCCTTCTTGCTGGCATCGGCAGGTGGCGACCCAGAGTCACTGTCGGAGTCGCTCTCAGGAGGGGCCGGGGGCTCAGCCAATTTCAGATCGTACTTTCCCTCCTTTCCCATTCTGTAGGAGTTGGTGGTGCCATTGTCCCACTGGACCCTGATCCACCCATCGTCCCCCAGCTCTCCGATGACCTTCCCCTCCCCAGGGGGGGTACCATCCTGCTCCGCCCACTTCCAGTCCACCCCCCTGACCACCCTCGTCCCAATCTTCATGAGAGCCGCGAGGGCGGCGCCACTCAGCTGGACAGCAGGCGGTTTATTCTTCTGCAAAACGTCTTCGTAAATAGCAGAGACATTCGACGTCTTCTGGAGCCTCTTCACCCTCATGGATTCGGTCATCATGCCCACGGGGGTGGGCCCAATCTGTCGTAGAAGAGTCAGAACACTGGAGATGAGGCCAGAGTTCACCAGCAGGCCAATCTCATTGGCGTGATGATGACTGGTGAGCATTCCAATGATCGTCAGCAAGAACCTGGCCCTCGGGAGCTTCCTCAGCCAGGTGTAGGTGCCCTGGTTCAGGCTGCTCTTCCCACTGACCTTGTCCTTGTTGGGAAGCTCCGCCTGGATGACGTAGGCCCTCAGCGCCTGGATCGTCCAGCAGGTGACCTGGGCCTCCGAAATGATGACATTGGCCCTCTGATAAGGCGTCACCAGTTGAATGTTGCTCAAACAATGAGTGACAACTCGATCCTGGAGACGCTTGCTCTCAGGTACGAGCCCCAGCCAGCCGTTCAGCAAGGAGTACTTGACAGAAGTGATGAGGTAATCCCTCTTGAGGAGCTCCAGAATCATCCTGATCCCCCTCTCCCTCATCTTCACCCGTTGGATCTGGCAGTACATCGCCCTCCTGAGGGTCTCCACGATGTTCCCCCCGCCATCCTCCGAGACAGCGAAGCTCACGACTTCGTTCATCAGTTCCCCAGAGTCACCCCCCAGGGCCCTGGCGTTCAGCTTGTCCAGCAGCTGGAGAACAACATTCCTCATGGTCTGCCTGTCCTCAAAGTACTTGGGCTCCTTCTCCTCAGGAAGACTCGAGATAGTCGTGTCCTTGGCAGGTCTCGAGTTCTGAATGGAGGTGTTGACGATGTCGTCGAGCTTCCCAGTCTCCCTGTTCTCCTTCTTCTTCTTCTTCACCATCTCGTGTGCATTCGTCCTCTTCTTCCTGTTGTCAGCAATGACCCCGAGGACAACCCTCTTAAACTTGGGTACAGTGTGCAGCAGCTTCAGCCCCTGGTACCCAATGACTTCGTAGCTGGTGGCAGGCCTCACCTCATACAGGAGAAACCTGCACTTCTCCTGGACAGGGGCGCAGACCTCCTTGTAGCTCTTGTTCTGCTGCTGCCTGGTCCTGATGAGATTCCACTTGGTCTGGTGAATGAGCTTGACCATGTCAACAAGGGGTTTGGAGAGTTTAGCGTTATCGTCGGTGAGTTCTTGATCGACAAGGGCCATCGTCTGGTACCCCAGGGCGAGGTGCTTGATGATGACAGCCATGAGGAGCCTCCCGACCTCCTCCACAGGGTGGTCCCCGTAGAAATCCACGTGGGAGAGCAGATTATTGGCCTTGCTGTACTTCTCCACCATCTTCAGGAAGCTCTGGACGTAGTCGTCAGTCCTGTGGCCCTCGGCGAGGGCCTGGAGGAAGGCCGTCACCCTGGACTCACTCGGTTTCGCTTTGTTCTGGAACTTGTCCTTCCCCCCAGGCGCCCCTCCAGGATTCCCAGATGAGCTCGTGTTCGTGGTGATGCTGGTGGCTGTGGTGACGCCACTGGTGACTCCCACAGCCCCAGAGAGAGGAATCCCAGGCTCAGTGGGTGAATTAGCTGCCGTTGAGTGATTACTCTTGGCCTCGTCCTTCTCCTCCTCGTAAGGATTGGAGGGCTGCAGCACCTGGAGGCCTCCCCTGAGGAAGGTGGCGTTCAGCCAGACCCCCGCCTCCTCCTCGGCAGGCAGCAGAGCCAGACTCCTGCGCATCCAGTGGGCGTGCAGCCCCAGGAGAAAGCTCAGGGCCCTCTCGACGTCCAGAAGCGACGAGCAGACGTCCATAATCTCAATCGTGAACTGCGTGCAGTCAGGCTCGGACTGGCAGTAGTACCCCACGAAGCAGGACTCCATGACCCCAGAATTCAGCTGTGATATCGTCTTCTTGGTATTGGAGATGTCCTTGCTGCCGTCGAAACGAACGCCCTCAGCCTCCCTCCCCTGCACGAGGGAAGACGACAAAGAGGATGAGGACGAGCTGTCACGTCCCTCCTGGCAGAAGTCCTGGACGTCGTAGACGTTGTTGTTGACGACGATCCAGAGGCCACCGTCTCGATTGTGGTTCTCCAGATCGGCCCACCTGATGAGGGCCGGCTCCTCAGGGATCGACAGGGCCTGTCTGGAGGTGTTCCCCTGCTGAGGGGCGATGATCCCCGGCCAGGAGAGGTCGTCGGCGTCGTCCTTCTCGAAAGTGGGGGCGAGTCTGTTGAACTGATCCAGAATATCCAGCACTGGAGCCAGAATCTCCATCCAATTCATTCCATGAAGCAGCAGGGAATTGTCCACCTGCAGGAGAATCAGGCAGATCACCAGTTCCGGTAGTAAAATAGCGACGATATCACTCTTCAATATCATAGTGACTAGAACAAAATTTTTGCTGCTGGTGGCAGCGATCTCGCAGGCCCTCGGCAGGACATCATTCACGTGATTGCAGATTTGAATAATGTACTTCTGAAGGAGAGACTGCGAGCCGATGGTCTCAGGGTCCTGGGGGTCCTGATCGTTCCTCGTTTTGTTGACGCACTGGTAGATCTGGGCAATCAGGAGCCGCTGCCACCGAAGCAGAAGGTTCGTGCTGGGGGAGTTGTCGAGCCTCTGGCTCTCCTCGTTCTTCCTCCCTCCCTTGGCCACCTCCAGGGCCTCCAGCCTGGCCTGCGTGATGCAGGTGCCATTCTTTATCAACTGCTTCACCAGCTGAACGAGGGAAATCGTCATGCTGTGTTTTTCCGAGCTGAACTCCTTGGACTCCTTCGTCTCGTTCTTGAATTCGGTCGTTGAGTTCGACGACACTATCGACTCCTTCTCGTCGGAGATGTCTGTGATCTCGGCTCTGATGGCGGCCTTCAGGGCGTACTCCAGTCCCCCATCTGCCATCAGGCTCGACACCAGGAGATCAGCCATGAACTGCTGTCCCCTGTTGCTGCTGTCACTGGTGTTGTTGTTGCTGATGGCGTGATTGTGGTTGTTGTGGTGATGTTTATTACTGGAATTGTGGAGGTGATTACCGCTGAGGGACTTGAAGCTGTGGCTGGAGTTCGGGAGAAAGCTGGAGAGGGTCTTGGCCCTCTCATTAGCGGTTGGCAGGAGAATACTCCAGCCAGTTTGCAGAAGAGCCTGAGCAGCATCCTGGATGGTGGCGAGGATGCCAGCTTCACTGGCGAGGGCGACACACCTGTGCTTCAACGAGTTCAGGAGGCTGTTCCCCCCGGCCAGCCCCACCGACTTGGGATCGATCCCGTGGGAGATCATGGCGTGCAGCTGCAGCCTCAGGAGGTTCAGGGTAGCAACAGCCAGGCACTCCCTGTCCTGCGTGGGGGGTCTGGTCCCAGGGAGGCCCTCGCAGGACTTCGTCAGCAGCATGTCGAGAAGTTTGAACGTCTTCTCGCAGATGTCCACGACGAAGGGGACTCTGGTGGCCACCGACCACGTGGACAACGACCAGGCGAAGCTCTGGGTGGGCCCGCAGACGATTCCAATGACGTTTTTTCCGGTCAGGGCTGTGCAGAGCGAAGGCTCGGACAGTGTGAACCCCAGGGCTGGGTCTATCTGCCCGTAATCGTTCCTCCCCCAGCCGTAGACTTCCTGGTCCTCGGTGAGGGCCAGCACCAGGACACTCCCCACTGAGAGCTCCTTCACTTTTTTCCCTTTCAGCTTCAGGGACTCCACCATCTTCGGGTATCGCACGTGGTCCTCGTTGCCGTGCCCCAGGCGGTAGGCACTCCCCTTCCCCCAGGTGTAAATCTCCCCCTGAGCTGTGAGGGCTGCCGAGAACTGCCCACCGCAGTAGACCTTGATGACGTTGACGTCCAGGAGCTTGTCCACAATCTTCGGGATTTTCGAGCCGTCAGAACCCCCGCGCCCCAGCTTTCCGTAGTCACCGTCCCCCCAGGAGAAGACGATCCCCGATGCTGTGACGCAGAGGGTTTGGGAGTCTCCACTGCCGCAGGCCACGTACACCACGACGTGGCCGTTCAGCGCTGTCACCAGCGTCGGCGTCACCACGTCGTCGCAGGTGCCGTGCCCCAGGCGCCCGTAGTTCCCTCTTCCCCAGGTGAAGAGCTCACCAGTGGCTGTCAGAGCTGCGGAGTAGGTGCTACCGCAGGCGATGAATGTCACCGATTTGTCCGCAAGTCCCTCTATCACCTTGAACGAATACCATTGTTATAGCACGAGAATTTTGGGGATTTATTGGACGTGGACTTGTCAATCCCATGCACTCACTAATAGTTTTGATAAGATATGATGACTGTGATACATGAGACAATTTCAGAGAAAAACCTGGGGAATTTGGTGGAAATTATTATTACGTTTCTATAGAGGCGGGTTCTGTGGGAATTCCTCGACAGAAATTCTCAAAGTTTTTTTTTCCACTCAATTTTTCTTTTTTCGTTTACAAAATGAATCATCAAATCTAATGATGGCACACAGGAGAAAATTTGAGACGAAAACCTGGCGGATTCTATAGATAATCCTATGAATTTTCTATAGACATTTTCTGTAGGAATTCTTCGACAGGACTTTTGCAAATTTTTCCACTGAATTTTTCTTCTATTTTAATTTAACAAATCATATAAAAAACTTGCAAAATTTGAGATGGGGAGTTTCTATAGAAAATGGCCATTTAATTTTGATAAGAAATTATGACTGAGACATTTTTCTATAGGAATTCCTCGACAAGAATTTTCCTAGTTTTTCCACTCAATTTTTCCTCTCATTTAATTTAAAAAATCAAACAAAAAACTTGAAAAATTTCAGATGACGAATTTCTATAGAAAATGGACATTCATTTTGATAAAAAATTATGACTGAGACATTTTTCTATAGGAATTCCTCGACAAGAATTTTCCTAGTTTTTCCACTCAATTTTTCCTCTCATTTAATTTAAAAAATCAAACAAAAAACTTGAAAAATTTCAGATGAGGAATTTCTATAGAAAATGGCCATTTAATTTTGATAAGAAATTATGACTGAGACATTTTTCTATAGGAATTCCTCGACATGAATTTTCCTTGTTTTTTCCACTCAATTTTTCCTCTCATTTAATTTAAAAAATCAAAAAAAAAACTTGAAAAATTTCAGATGACGAATTTCTATAGAAAATGGACATTCATTTTGATAAAAAATTATGACTGAGACATTTTTCTATAGGAATTCCTCGACAAGAATTTTCCTAGTTTTTCCACTCAATTTTTCCTCTCATTTAATTTAAAAAATCAAACAAAAAACTTGAAAAATTTCAGATGACGAATTTCTATAGAAAATGGACATTCATTTTGATAAAAAATTATGACTGAGACATTTTTCTATAGGAATTCCTCGACAAGAATTTTCCTAGTTTTTCCACTCAATTTTTCCTCTCATTTAATTTAAAAAATCAAACAAAAAACTTGAAAAATTTCAGATGAGGAATTTCTATAGAAAATGGCCATTTAATTTTGATAAGAAATTATGACTGAGACATTTTTCTATAGGAATTCCTCGACATGAATTTTCCTTGTTTTTTCCACTCAATTTTTCCTCTCATTTAATTTAAAAAATCAAAAAAAAAACTTGAAAAATTTCAGATGACGAATTTCTATAGAAAATGGACATTCATTTTGATAAAAAATTATGACTGAGACATTTTTCTATAGGAATTCCTCGACAAGAATTTTCCTAGTTTTTCCACTCAATTTTTCCTCTCATTTAATTTAAAAAATCAAACAAAAAACTTGAAAAATTTCAGATGAGGAATTTCTATAGAAAATGGCCATTTAATTTTGATAAAAAATTGACTGAGACATTTTTCTATAGGAATTCCTCGACAAGGATTTTCCAAGATTTTCCCACTAAATTTTCCTTTTCATTAAATTAAAAAAATCGTACAAACAACTCGAAAAATTTCAGACAAGGAATTTCTATAAAAAGTGAATAGAAAATTCTATTGAATTTCTAGACCCATTTTCTATAGGAATTCCTGGCCCTGAATTTTCCACTTTTCCCTAAATTTTTCTTCTCTCTTAATTTAAAAAAATCAGCCAAAAAATTTCCGCCCAGGGATTTCCATAGAAAATGCCCATTCCCAAAAGAGACAAATTCAATTAAAATGAAACTACAATGACCCTCATCACCAATTACCTTAGGATTATCATAAGACGTGGTGTTGCCATGCCCGAGTCTCCCCCCATCGCCATTCCCCCACGAGTACGTGACTCCCTCCTCGGTAAGCGCGAGATAATGCTTCCCATCCGGATGGGAAGCAATCATGCTTATCACAGTGTTTTTCTTGACCACCCCAAACTCGACCTTCTGCGGATACTGGGTCTCGGACCCATAATGCATCATGTAGACCTTCCCACTCTGCGTGAGAATCATGAGAGCCCGTTCTGTGCAGCAGAGCTGCCTGACCCCGAGCTCAGCAATGGCATCACAGTAAAAAGGCGACGTTCCATTCCCGAATTTGACTCCCCCCCAGGCGACGACCTCCTGAAAAGTCGTCTGGGTCGTCTGGTTCTTCAAAAAAGCATTAGTCCCACTGCCGGAGCAGCTGGAGTTGTTGAGAGGGGGCATATGAGGGCTCGCAAGACGCGACAAATTGCACATGACGACGACAGCGGCCTTGCGAAGGTCCACAGGGACAGCATCATCCTCAGGGAGCACCAGATACTTCAGAAGTACCTCGCAGGGTCCTGGGTTCAGCCTGCCCTCGTTCCCAGCAGGTCTCCGAGACTTGGTAGCTGCCACAGAGTTGAGCCTCCTCAGAAGAGGGACCAGAGGTGCGCAGCTCCCTGAAGCCGGTGGAATGACTCGATTGTCCTGATTGATGGTCTTCTCACTCAAGTGTAGAAGGAGAATAACAGAGTCGAGGAGGCTGGAGAGGGTGGCTCGCTGCGCGACGAGCTCCAGGAGCAGGCAGAGAGCAGTGTGCTGATCAGAAACTGGAACTGGACCCCAGGGGGTGGCAGTGGTGGTGGCTGTCAGCTGGGCGACGTCGCCAGTGACAACCTGACGAAGGAATTTTGCGGATTTCTCCACCACTTCCAGCCAGACCTGGGAGACGTTGTTCTCCTCGAAGAGAGTGGCCTCCGGCAGGGACTGGAGGGTCTCCAGGGAGTCCGAGAGGATCTCACTGCAGAATTCCACGTCCTCCCCGGATCGCCAGGCCCTCCTCAAGTAGGCGAACGAGAAGTTCAAGGCTGCTCTCGTGCCAACTCTTGCTAGACCCACGGCCGCTCGTTCAGAGGGCTTCACCGACAGCTTTGGAGGCTTCAGGCTGGCGCTGGAGGGCTTGCAGCTCGTGCTCAGGGCTGTGTCGATGTTTGTCAGGGGCTTCTTCTCCTCCTGCGGCTTGTGCCGAGACAGGGCTGTGAAGTATCGCCTCGCTATCACCAGGCGCTGGCGCAATCTCGTCGCTGAGAGCGTGCTGTTCGCTACTTCGTTGCACAGGACCGTCTGGTCTCTTATTAAAGCCTCGGTGCTCGCCTCCCAGTCGGATCTCGAGGGCTTTGTGCTCCACAACCACGAGTCCATTGTTGTGTGGGCTAGGGGGAACGACTTCTCCGTGGCTCGCACCAGGGCTGCTGCCATCTCCTCGTCCAGCGCTGCCTCCTCCTCGTCGAGCTTCTGACAGGGCCCGCAGTTGCAGCCACTCTGCGGACCGCAGATCCCGTCGCAGCAGAGGCACGAGAGGACTCGCAGGTTGCAGTAGTAGTGACCACTGTCCCCTGGAAGTAATGGGGAGGCTCCAGCGTTTTTTGGAATTTGGAGAAGTAAACTGATGGGTGGGGGTTAAATTAAATTAAATATCCCGCGATTTAATTGCCAAATTCGGTGGGAATTTATTTTTCTTCAACATCATTTGGGGAATTGTTTAGGAAGTTGGAAATCAATTATTCAGTCATTTAGTCTTCGGAAATTTAGGATTTTCATTCATTTTATACATTCTTGTTTAAGAGATTTTTTATACAAGTTAAGTTTTTTTCATTTTTTGGGATCTTTAGGGCGTTTTTTTTAGTTATTTCTAATTATTGATTATTTTACTCTTTACTGATTTTTTAGTTGACATAAAATAGTCTCATAACGATAGAAGAGAATTAAAAAATAATTTTTACCAGCAAATTCACTAAATTTTTTATTATACCGAATTTTTCCCGAACTCCAGGATTGATTAAAATGATTAAAATGGTTAATAATTGCCATTATTTAACTATTTACAGACATTTTCAGTTGCAATAAGTCTCCTAACAACAGAAGAGCATTAAAAAATGATTTTTGCCAACAAATTCACTAAACTTTTGCTTATACCGAATTTTTCCCGAACTCCAGGATCGATTAAAATGATTAAAATGGTTAATATTTGCCATTATTTTATTATTTACAGACATTTTCAGTTGCAATAAGTCTCCTAATAACAGAAGAGCATTAAAAAATAATTTTTACCAGCAAATTCACTAAATTTTTGATTATACCGAATTTTTCCCGAACTCCAGGATCGATTAAAATGATTAAAATGGTTAATATTTGCCATTATTTTATTATTTACAGATATTTTCAGTTGCAATAACTCTCCTAATAACAGAAGAGCATTAAAAAATAATTTTTACCAGCAAATTCACTAAACTTTTGATTATACCGAATTTTTCCCGAACTCCAGGATTGATTAAAATGATTAAAATGGTTAATAATTGCCATTATTTTACTATTTACAGACATTTTCAGTTGCAATAAGTCTCCTAATAACAGAAGAGCATTAAAAAATGATTTTTACCAACAAATTCACTAAACTTTTGCTTATACCGAATTTTTCCAAAACCCCAGAATTGATTAAAATGAATAAAATGAATGAAAAATTCAATCATTCTACTATTTACAGACATTTTCAGTCGGAATAAGTCTCCTGACAACCGAAGAGCATTAAAAAATGATTTTTACCAACAAATTCACTAAACTTTTGCTTCTACCGAATTTTTCCAGAACCCCAGAATTGATTAAAATTACTAAAATGTATGACAATTTCAATTATTCTCCTATTCACAGATATTTTCAGTTGCAATAAGTCTCCTGACAACAGAAGAGCATTAAAAAATAATTTTTACCAGCAAATTCACTAAACTTTTGTTTATACTGAATTTTTCCAAAACCCCAGAATTGATTAAAATGAATAAAATGAATGAAAATTTCAATTATTCTACTATTCACCGATATTTTCAGTTGCAATAAGTCTCCTGACAACCGAAGAACATTAAAAAATAATTTTTACCAGCAAATTCACTAAACTTTTGCTTATACCGAATTTTTCCAAAACCCCAGAATTGATTAAAATGAATAAAATGAATGAAAAATTCAATTATTCTACTATGTACAAATATTTTCAGTCGCCATAAGTCTCCTGACAACCGAAGAGCATTAAAAAATAATTTTTACCAGCAAATTCACTAAACTTTTGTTTATACCGAATTTTACCAAAACCCCAGAATTGATTAAAATTAATAAAATGAATGAAAATTTCAATTATTCTACTATTTACAGACATTTTCAGTCGCAATAAGTCTCCTGACAACCGAAGAACATTAAAAAATTATTTTTGCCAACAAATTCACTAAAGTTTTGTTTATACCGAATTTTTCCAAAACCCCAGAATTGATTAAAATGAATAAAATGAATGAAAAATTCAATTATTCTACTATGTACAAATATTTTCAGTCGCCATAAGTCTCCTGACAACCGAAGAGCATTAAAAAATAATTTTTACCAGCAAATTCACTAAACTTTTGTTTATACCGAATTTTACCAAAACCCCAGAATTGATTAAAATTAATAAAATGAATGACAATTTCAATTATTCTACTATTCACAGATATTTTCAGTTGCAATAAGTCTCCTGACAACAGAAGAGCATTAAAAAATAATTTTTACCAGCAAATTCACTAAACTTTTGTTTATACTGAATTTTTCCAAAACCCCAGAATTGATTAAAATGAATAAAATGAATGAAAATTTCAATTATTCTACTATTCACAGATATTTTCAGTTGCAATAAGTCTCCAGACAACCGAAGAACATTAAAAAATAATTTTTACCAGCAAATTCACTAAATTTTTGTTTATACCCAATTTTTCGAAAACCCATTATTCATTAAAATAAATAAAATAAATGAGAATTTCCATTATTCTACTATCTACAGACATTTTCAGTTGCAGTAAAAACCTCATAACAACGAAAGACCATAAGAAAAAATCAATAAACGTGGAATAGCATCTGAAACTGTCAAAAATCCTCACCTTTCCTCGAGATGACTCCAGCAGCATTGATGAGTCCATCGCTGAAGCTCCCGACGATTTCCCCATCCCTAACCATTCCATTCCACAATTCAGCGAGTCCATCTCGACACAAAAACCTCTGGAGATCGGTTTTCAACCACTTTGCATCGAGACGTGACTCCGGTCTCACTGTTATGCTCAGCTGACCACTCATTTTGTTTACTTCCGATGTTTTTCCCCTCGAAATTCTCCTAGATCTCCATGTTTCCCTCAATGTTTCTTTTTTCACTCTTCACTGAAAAAAATATCGAAGCTCAATAGTCGAAAAATTCCACAGAGAGCGAAGTTCTAATGATTTTCGATGGGCTCGATTGACATGACATATGAAATGAAGGGCAATGTCAGATTGAAATGCGACCGAGGAGGAAAATTTTCGTAGAAATTTTAGGAAAATTTTTGATTTCTGGGGGAGAGGGGTTGGGGCTTGTTTGAGGAGAGGAGAATTGATATTTACGGGCTGATGGAGAGCAGTTTCACTCCTTTCAGCAGCAGTTATCAACAGCAATGGTGTTTTTGACATGTATCAGTGGTAACCTACACCAACCTGCACTAACCTGCTGAGACTGGCTCGAATCGACGTGAATTGAGACCATTAGGCCGCCGTGACTGCAAGCAATTTTCGAGTTGAGAAAAAGGAAATTTAATTTAAATATTAGTGGGTAATAAAAATCGCTTTTTGATGTGATAAACTCGTTATGTCATTTTTTAAGCCATTTTTTAAATAATAAACAGTGGGTGATGACATCCAGAGAAAATTTGGATAAAATAAAATTTCAATTGAAGGTTTTATTATTTAAATAACAATTTCCGTTGGGAATTAATCAACTCTTGTATTTATTTTAATGAACACGTGTTAATTACGTGAAAAAAATACCGAAGTGTGGGGAAAATTTTGCAGCATGAATTCTCAGCCGAAAGGGAATGAAAAAAGCTGAAGAATAGCTTAAAAAATTTGTTCTTTTCTGGGAACTGAGTGAAACGAATTGGAGGTAATTTGAAGAGGATAAATAATTTTAATAAATGTTAAAAAATACGAGGTGGGCCAGCTGGCTTGGTCGCCTCCATCTTGTGCCGCCATCTTGTTTGGATACCCCCTCCCCCTGCCGCGAGGGACTTCAAAGATGGCGGCGCCCACCTCGAATGTTTAAACACTTCTTAAAATTATTTATCTTCTTCAAATCGCCCTCAACTCGCTGCATCCGGTTTCTAAAAAGTGAACAAATATTTTAAGAGATGTTTCAGATTTTTCCGTCTCCTTTTCGATGAGAATTCACGGCACAAAGTCTTCCCAAATTTCAGAAATTACTTTTTACCCCCGAGGCATCTTAATTCATCATTAATTTCTAAATAATAAATTTTTTATTGCAGTTAACAAAACATTTATTTATATTTTTGAAAAATTAATTTCAAGCGAATAAAAATGTAAATCAAAATGAAATTCAGTTTGAATAAAAGCTTTACCAAGAGCTGTTCATGCAAACTATTTATTCCATAAAAAATAATTACCAAAATAAATAAAATGAATAAAACGAAGGCAAATAAAATTAAAAAAATCATTTCTCAATTAAAAATCCGGAAGTGCCCGTCGCGCCGGAAGTCACCAAAACTTCGCGCTTCGTCCGCCAGTCCCTCCCAACGAAGTGGTTCCCCCTCACAGAACCCGTTACCCCACGTTTTTCCACACGAGCAAAGGAGTATGAGCAAATGGCGTCTCACAGGTGGAGATTGTTGCGTCAAATTGCCAAAAATAATGAATGAACTGTCACAATAACCATGAAATACCTCTGAAACACCATTTACATCGGCTGTGGTAAGTACCATGACCCCAATAACCCAAAATAATCCCCCAAAATTCCGAATTATCGCGTAAAAACGATTGATTTTTGCGGCGCCTACTGCTGTTAGATGTAAACAAACACAAACTCTCGGTCGTGATCTAGCCCTGAAATTCAAACCCTCTGCAACCCGAGACAATTCAGATAAAGTGCCCCCCCGCCTCCTGATTTTCCCTCGGGTGTCCCGACATTTCGCGTAATTAAAGCTCCCGAAAATTTTAAGATAAAAATATGAATGAAGCGAGTGGAGGAAAGGAAGAATCGAATACACAAACTTGGGACGCACTGTCAAATAGCCAGCAGTTATCGGGATTGACCGGTGCAATGCACCATCATCATCATCCCCATCCTCATCCCCATCATCTGCATCACACGACCATGATGCAGCAGGAGCAGGCGGTATCGGCTGTTAGCCAGGTTATCGTGCCAACTCCGGTTAAACTGCAGCCACAAACACTTACGCAAACGGCGGGAATCGTCGAGCATTGTCCACCGATGTCCCATGTGCCGCAGCAAATGATTCCCATGGGACAGGTAATTATTGTTCAATGGAAATCAATATTTTTCATTAATTTTTTGGGTAAATTCAACCCTTTCAACCATTTTTTCCATTCGTTTTCACCATTTGTTTTATTTTTTTCAGTTCGTTATTAAAAGTTGAGAAGTGAAATGTTTTATTCATTATTTATTCACTTCGTGATGATTTATTGATAATTTTAGAATTTTTCAAATTCAATTTTATGACTTTTTTAAATAAATTAAGTCACTTCGACAATTTTCCAGAATTTTTTTATCCATTACTGTTTAAAACTTTTGTTTGTACTCGAAAATTAACATGTTTCGATAATCATTAATTTATTTATAGACGTTTGAATTTTCAATAATTTAATTCGTTAAATTAATTAAGATTAATTAAATTTTATAAATTGAATCTATTTATATTTTTTTACCATTTGTTTTTAATTTTCGCCTCCAAAAACCGAAGAGAATTTTCAGTTTTTCAAAAACATTTTAAATTTTGCAAGAAATTGTTTTCAATTTTTTTTTCAAGTTTCCGTTTTCTTCAATCGATTTTCCCCTCTGTTCCCCCCAGGTGGTGCTCCCAAACACCTTTCCCGAGCCCGAGTTGAGTCCAGAGCTCCAGCAGCAAGGTTGGAAAAGGTTCTGGAGTAAACGAGAGAACCGTCCCTACTTCTGGAACAAGTTAACAGGTGAATCCCTGTGGGTGATGCCCTCCCTGAAGCCCCAGTTCGACCCAATAACGGATCCCCTGGGCATCTGCGGTAGTCCAGTGGTCTCTCCAGGCAACGGTCCGCTGCCCCCGGGCACCCCAGGAGGTCCCCTGAAACGTCGAGCCTCGGAGGACGGCAACGCAATAGCTGGACTAGGCGCAGGTGCAATAAAAAAATTCGTCCTGGCAGGCCCCTGGGACCTGGAAGTCGGCACGAACGTGATAATCTACGAGAGAGCCCAGTCCACCCTCTTCCAGATCCACCCCGACGTCGAGGCACTTCGCTGCAGTCTCCTGGCGAAGCTGCGCCAGTGCTACCAGGAGCTCTGCCACACACGAGAGTCGATAGACGCCCCCAAGGACTCCTTCAACCGCTGGCTGATGGAACGAAAGGTCATTGACTGCGGCTCTGACCCTCTACTCCCCAGCCAGTGCTTCCCAGAGATCTCCATGTCGATGTATCGAGAGATTATGAACGACATTCCCATCAAAATTGTTCGCCCTAAATTCACTGGAGACGCCAGGAAACAGCTGTCGAGGTAGATTGAGGGAAGCAATTTATTGGTTTGAATAACGGTTTTTTATTCGTTTTTGGGGGAAATAGGACGAATCATCAATTTGGGAAAATGGGAGTAAAGCGCTGGAGTTGGGCTTGAACCCACGACCCTTAGGTTTCCAGTCTGAAATTTTACACACATGAAATATATCCCCTGGGTGTTGTTATTTAGAATGAATTATTTATGGAATTTTAAGTGAAAAATCAGTTAAATTCTTGAGTATTCAATGGAATTGCCATGTTAAGGTCGATATAACACTGAAAATTTTGAAAATTCAGGCAATATTTTTCTGAATTGTTAATTCATTGAAAATTCTATTGAATGTCATGTTTGATTTTTATAATGAACGATATTTCCATCAAAATTGTTCGCCCTAAATTCACTGGAGACGCCAGGAAACAGCTGTCGAGGTAGATTGAGGGAAGCAATTTATTGGTTTGAATAACGGTTTTTTATTCGTTTTTGGGGGAAATAGGACGAATCATCAATTTGGGAAAATGGGAGTAAAGCGCTGGAGTTGGGCTTGAACCCACGACCCTTAGGTTTCCAGTCTGAAATTTTACACACATGAAATATATCCCCTGGGTGTTGTTATTTAGAATAAATTATTTCCGGAATTTTAAGTGAAAAATCAGTTAAATTCTTGAGCATTCAATGGAGTTGCTTTTTTTAAATCGACAAGACATTGAAAATTTTGAAAATCCTGACAACTTTTTTTTCTGAATTTTGTCAAAATAGTTTTTAAATAATACATTAATAATTTATTTATTTACAATAGCATTTTCTCAAATCATCCGTTCTAAAAAAAGCGAATAAATCGATAATTTTCACAATGAGTTTGAGAATTCCAACATAAAAAATTCGATTTTCCAAATTAAGTAACAGATTCTATGATAAATTTGATCTGGAATTCCCTTCAAATTCCCACCATTGCCAAATAATTCAATATTTCCACAAATAATGCACCAATGAAATGAGCCATTAACATAAAAAAATGTCAACCCCATTTCCCCCCAATAATCCCTCCCCCCCAGCCAAAAATTAAAAATCCGCCTAAAATTAAAACCCCCAGGTACGCGGAGGCTGCGAAAAAGATGATCGAATCGCGAGCAGCCTCCTCCGAGTCCCGAAAGGTGGTCAAGTGGAATGCAGAGGAGACCTTCCAGTGGCTGCGTAAAACGGTGGGCGCAACATTCGACGATTTCCAGGACAGATTGTCCCACCTGAAGCACCAGTGCCAGCCGCACCTGACCGAGACAGTGAAGGGAAGTGTCGAGGGTATCTGCATGAAGATATACAATCTCTCGGCAGAGTACGCGAAGAAAGTGCGGGACAAGAACAACCAGATAATAAAGGACAGTGGGCTGAGTGACATTCTGAGGCCGAACGCCCCACCCCAGCGTAAAGTCTGGTGTTACCCAGTGCAATTTGTGCTGCCAGCCCCCCGACTACCGAACGTCGAGTACCTCCCAGAGAGAGAGCAGACGATGCTTCGATTTCACGGCGACACAGTCTGCATAAACAACCACCACCTGACGAAGCTCGAGCATTTGTACAGGTACAACTGCTTCGACGACAAGAAATTCGAGATGTTCCTGCCGAGGGTGTGGTGTGCACTCAAGAGATATCAGACTTACCTTGGAATCAACGAGGGACAGGCCACGCAGATGGCCCTGCCAGTCAGTGTCTTCGAGTGCCTCCAAAGGTCCTTCGGAGTCACCTTCGAGTGCTTCGCCTCCCCCTTCAACTGCTACTTCAGGCAGTACTGCTCGGCCTTCGCCGACACTGACTCGTACTTCGGCTCGAGGGGACCTTTCCTGGACTTCAGGCCCATCACAGGATCCTTCGAGGCCAATCCACCGTACTGCGAGGAGCTCATGGAGGCCATGGTCAATCACTTCGAGAGACTCCTGGCGGACTCCACTGAGCCCCTCTCGTTCATTGTTTTTTTACCCGAGTGGAGGGACCCGGCGCCCAATGCTCTTGTCAAGCTCGAGGCCAGCCACTTCAAGAAGAAACAGGTCGTCGTGCCTGCTATGGAGCACGAGTATAGACATGGATTTCAACATCTTTTGCCAAAGTAATTTGTTTTACTGTAATTTGTCTCATTTTTTTCGTGACTATAGAGTTTAATGAGAATAATTTCCCCTTCAGGCTCTTGGTTATTTTAACGTCCACAATGAATTAACACAAAAAATTCATTACTTTCGACAGAGTTTCGAGTGGCAAAACTCACTCCTCAGGGCAATTTATTTATTCTCGTCTACTTGAAAAACAAAGAACATACGAAATATTAGATGAGATTACATTTACATTAAATTGTGATTACATTTACGTTAAATTTCAAGGCAAAGGTTTAAATGTAGAATTATTTGATAGAACGAAAGAATACCCAAAATTTCAATGACATTTCAATTGATTATAGTACTATGACGAGAAAAAAAAAGAAGAAAATAGTGAAATAAGAATTAAAAAAAACAGAATACAGTCGGAAGAAAATTGCTATATCATTAACTATACTCATTCACAAAAAAATGCATTCCATTCTTTTTTTTAATCCCACAGTGTAAATTGCACTAAAATTTCCCTGAATTTTGTCGCAAAACAATTACAAATCCTTCGAAAAATTGATTCCACCATTTTGTTCCAGAGCTGAAGTGAACATCAGAGCAGCTCACGGTACCCTAGTAGTCTGGCTGCAGAACGCAGCAGGAGCAGCTCGCTGGGGTCCCACAGAGGAGCGTGTGGAGGCCCTCCTGGAGGCGTGGCGCCCAGGTCGAGAAAGAGAGAGAGACAGACAAGAGCTGCTCTCACCCCCCAGACCAACGACTCACCAGGCAATACCGTCCACAACGATTTCCCTGTCGTCAACCTGCACCCCAGCAACGCCAACAACGATAAACCCCTCGACACCAATAACCACAGCACCAGCATCAGTACCACCACAAGTGCCCAGCACAATTCCCCCAGCGACACTGAACTCAAACTCAACACCAACACCAACGATAACACCTCTGACAGCGGTAACAGCAGCTAATCCCATTTGAAAATACCCTAGGATCTCATTGGTAAGAGTAGTTAGATTTATTTAGGGTAATAAAATCATTTATTTTCTGCTCTGAACATATTTAACGTGTAAATAGGTGAGTTTGCTGATAATTTGAATCAACCTGATGTTTAGAATTTTTTATTTAGAGATATGATCGTGTTTGATATCATTAGAGTTCTATGGTGAGAAAAATGTGGAATTTAATCAAGTATTTCTTAGATAATGCCGGGTAGATACGTAAATCAGTGAATTTTCGTACTACTGGGGTGTTTTTCCGGCGAGAAAAATCCGTCGAGAAGCAATAAATCGGATTTGATACTGTTTGAGGCAATATTTCGATGAATATATTTTTTTTCCTCTGATTGGGTCACAAGTTCGTCAGACGAGAGTAGAATAGCATAGCTTTATCACCACGCGAGGAGAATATATAGAAGAATTATTGGGAAAACGTTACGTTACAATAATTGCAATGTATCTATTATATAGGTTCATTATGGTAATGTGGATGAAGTCTATGTGTTTTAAATAACTATTTCGTACATTAATCTTTTATCGAGTAATGTTATTTGTTGTGACGACGAGTTGATCTGTTCTCCTTAATTTCAACACTTTCTTTTCTGGAGTATACTGCTGAGAGATTGATAAATTAAATTGTAGTATATTAAATATACTTGCCGTGCAAGATTAAAAAGTCTAACATGGAAGGGGAACTGAAGTCATTGAGATGATTTGTAGTTTTAGGATAGTTATTAAGGAGAGTTAATTAACGAGGTTGATTCAAGTGCTATAAGACAATGTGCGATGCCTAATGTAGTTTAGCTGCGTAAATGCTGATTAATTTCGTGTGGTCATTATTTTTTAATCGATAAATACCTTGTAAATAAATTATACAATGTCAATAAATAATTTTGTTATAACGTAATAAGATTTTTAATCAACAATTTCTCACTCAAGGGGTCTCGTGCAGATTGAACAAGAATTTTTTCAAATTTCCACACCTCAAGAAAACAAAGCACAAATTCATTGATAATTCTCGTGGAGAGCGATATATCTGTAAATAAAATATGGAGGAATGTAAGAAAATGTAAATATACGTTATCAGATCGCACGCTATCCAATTATTTCTACCCACATTATTTCCTCGAACACTCATCGCATGGAGAGACAAAAATGAGTTGTTTTATTTCTCATTTTGAGATCAATGGGACAGTATGAAAATTGAGAAAATGCGAAAAAATGCTGGAGGTTGGGCTTGAACCCACGACCCTTAGCTCTCCAGTCTGAGTCTTTACACACATGGGTATTCACAGGATAAAAAAAAATTTGTTGCGTATCCCCTTCGAATCCCTTTCTTTTGTCAATGATCTGGATATCGAGAGAAGCCCCGGAGGGATGTTTCCACATCCCTCGACTTGTAAAAGGTGTAATGCGATACAAAACGAAAATAAATCTCTAAAATCTAATCAAGTATTTCTGGCACAAAGCCAGATGCATATATAAATTAATTAATTAATTTTTAACGGAATTTATTGCAAGAAAATTACAGACAAAAAAAAAATTTCTTACAATAGGCCATCGCCGAGGGCCTTCAGCCAGATATAATTATTTAATGTTTGAGGCAATATTTGGAGGGATATTTTTTTTTCTCTGGCCGGGTCACAAATTCTGCGAATAAAATACGGAAGAACGTGAGAAATTGTGAATATACGGTATCCAATTATTTCCCCCCACGAGTCCTGGTTTCCACGCAAGCGCGCGAGCTTTTCCTTTATCGTCCTTCGACAATTCCTCGCGCCTCCTGCTACCCCGTTAGTTTCCCATTGGTATCGCCTCCAAGCTCGCCTCGAAAGCCACCCCTTTTCCACTATCAGTGCCGACAAAGTTATCACCAAAACATTCACCTCTGCTTCATCCTGTTAACAATTCACCCCTTCACCTCCCAACGACTCATGATATCCTGCTAGAAACGCAGGTTGATGCTTTGAAGCTAAACTTTCGCCCGAGCCCATAATTCAAACTCAATTCAACAGCATTAGAGCACTCGGTGGTCTTCAAACGAACTTTAAAAGTCCTTTGATGTTGCGGCGCCGCGTTAATGCAATCCCCGAGTGCAAAATCCGATCGAAAACGAAAAAATAAAAAATTCAAATTATCGGATCGAATTATCAGCATTTGCCGCGATTTTCCACCGCGATAAAAATTACTTTCTATTTTTAATCAATTGAAAATCGACCATTCTGCTATCCTGACCCCGCAAGACCCGCCCTGAGGACCACGCGGCCCCATCCGCGTCTTGTCCCAATTTCCAGATTGAGCCTGCGCAGGAATTTCCTCACCCCTAATCTAGCTTTCAATAGTTATACGATCCTGATGGTGAGAATGCTTCTGGCGCCACTCGCTTGACGAGTGACGAGACATTGACGTGTCCAGAAGATGCTCTCCCCCTCGGTTTTCACTCATCATCCTCCGGAGGCAAGACGCCTCCACTGATTAACCGAAAGATTTCTGCGCCGCCCAGAAAAATCGGCCCCTAAAACCGGGGGATTCCCCGGGCATGCAATCCTGATTCGTAGAATACTTTTTCCGCTGGAAAGTGCGCGGAATTCGAGACCTCCCGAAGGAAAAAGTACATTCTTGAAACCCCGAAACTCCTGTGGCCCTGATGATAGGAATATTTCCAGGGGGTAAATAATCCTCATTTTTTGTCTCTCCAATAATTCAAGGAGAATTCATCCTTCGTCTCAAGCGCGATCGTTCCCCCGCCCACGCGAAGCAGCGGTTGAATGAAGCAATCGGGCGGCAACTCCCGCGCCCCGGAGACATGAATGAACCCGAGTGATGACTGAGCGCATTGGGGCGGGTCAGTTTCTCCCGGAAGGACGTAAGATAAAGTGTTTCTCCTCGAAACGCATACTTATCGCCCTCGACAGGATCAGGAAGCCATAGACACCCAGCAGGACACCCCGACAGTTCAACGATCCTGACACCCCGCGTCGACTCCTCGCGCCCTGATACCCGGACGTAGCCAGCGGTTTGAAGTCTCCTGCATTATTTTCCTACCGAAACCCATGAAATTCTTATGACAAATGTCAGCGTCCCCGTAATTTCCCCAGTGCACTGACTCCCTTAACGGGCTTGGCTCCCAGGTCCGACTGGACTCCCTCCGAACTACTTGAACCGCGACGTGCCCCAAGGCACCAGGTGATCATGCCGTCCACTTGAGAAAGCGGGAAAGCCCAGGGGCATCTTCCCCGAGGATTCTAGTATCCTGGGACGCCTCCAAGATTTTCCACGTGTTGGTTGGCATCCATCACAAACACCATGCATGATCATCATGATGGGGTGGACGTCAACTTTCTCACCCGGAAACTCTTGGGAAGTATGAGGGAGCAGAATTCTTCAGAATCCACTTCTTCCGTGACCTCCACCCGTGGCTACTCCCCTAAAAGCTCACTTCCTGTACCCGTCCGGTGTCTACCGCGGTTTCTTTCCCCCAGCGCGCGTCGAAGTTCGCGGAAGGAAACCGGAAGACTTTCGCGGAGGAACTACCGAAAGTGCGACTGCTCATCCCGTTTACTGCTCTCCTGTCTCTTAAAACACCGCTGACTTCTTGAGGTGCTCTCTCCTTCCCGCGATCCTGATGAAGCCCTGTTCCGCGGAGGGCGCGGCTATCAGTTGACCAGACCGCGATCAGAAAATCTACCGCGTCCTGCGCAGGAGTCAACCGCGATGCTCAGGACACGCGGCATTGTGCGACCTACCTCGTCGCATGTGACCTTGATCCGGAAATATGCTTCGCGTTTGAGGCAATTAAGTGCATTAGCGTAGGCGCCGGCCCCGCGATGCGTCCGGCAACTGTGAAATTGGGGTTTTTGATCGCTCGACCGCGATCGCTATTCCGCGGAATTACGCGGGTAATTGGATTAGTTTTGGGTTTCGCGGGGATGGGGTTCGACGTATGGGGTTGTTTGTTTGATTCGCGGATTGGATATTTCGGGGTAAGTCGGTGGCGACCTGCACGCGGTGATGCTCTCCTCGACGTGGGCGTCGCTTGAAAGCTCCACGTACCCTCGAGGTCATAATGGCGAGCGAGGGTGGCTTCGGAGAATTTTCCTTCGGGTGACGTAAGAACCGCGGGGTGAGCCTACGTGACGCGGCACACTTGTCTACGTACGGGGTTACGTAATGTGACGTTGCGACAATGGGATGCTTCGTGGGACGGGGGAGTAGGAACTCGGTGGAGGTGGCCGACTACCCCTATGACACACCCCTTACGCTGCGTGGGGGATCGATCCGTTTTGGTAGAGAATTCTCGTTCCATCGGTGGGATGACCGAGTTTATCGAAATGACACAAACATTTATCACATATGAATGCGCGATGTTGAGGCGTTGATTATTTTTTACTGAGTAGTCTGGAGAGGCTGGAGATCCCCGTGTGACGACATGTATAAAATTAAGTGTTACAATGTCACCCTCCAATTCCCTTCCCACGTCCCCATCTTCTATTTTCCTCCAAACATGAACCCCAAGGATCAAAAAAATTTCTTCCAGTCGGGTCTATGGCCGAGTGGGTAAGGTATCCGCCTACAAAGCCAGAGGTCCTGAGTTCGAAACTCGGCACCGGCGAATTATTTCTGGATTATTTGATTTAGTCAAATAATATACGGACACCATCAAGTATACGTTGTAACAATGAGAGAAACCCAATGTGTTAAGCATGTTCGAATCATGTAAAAATACAGGACCCACAGTTCCACGTGTTTCGAGAACCTAACTGACTGCAGTTGATTCTCACCTTCGAAATACTGTCGATACCATAGTAACCTATATAGACTACAGAGGAAATAGTCGTGAGTTCGAACGACAATAAAGAGTGGCGAACCCGTCGCTAATGACCTAGCTGTCGATGCGACATTAAGCGCCAACGAACAAACAATAAACAACAAATTTCTTTCAAAATGACCCAAAATGCTTAATCCTATCGATAACAAGATTTATTTACATGTTCGAATTTAGTGTCATTACAATCAACCGGTGTCATCAGAAAATTACCATAATGGAATTCTACATATAAATACTTTCGAATTTATTAACAATAAGAAATTGCATGACATAACTTTATCCAATTCTCAGAGTCCTAGAGTCGGGTAATTCCGGCGAAAAAAAATCGCGATATTTTAAATTCAATAAAAAAAGAGTCATCAACTAGCGAAAGATAGACAGCCTGCTGCGGGTGCCGGGCATCCTCCCCTGGGCATCGAGCAGCCCAGCCTGAATATCCGCAAGACTGGGCACATTCCTGACCTCCCCCCGAGCAGCGACACTGGGTGGGGACTTGAGCAGACGCCTGGCGACCCTGTGCACATCCTCCCTCGTGATCTTCTCGATCTCCTGCATGAAGTACTCCGGCCGTTTCCTGACGCCCGTCGCGAGCACCTGCCTGCCAATGTCCTCGAAGACCACAGGCCTCTGCTCGAGGTTCATAAGCAGCATGGACTGCAGCTGCTTCTTGGCCCTCGCCAGCTCGCTCTCCGTCATGGGTCCAGCCATGGCCACCAGCTCCTTCACCACCACCTGCACCATCTCCTTGACGTGCGTCGGCGTCGACGAGGCGTGAATGCAGAACAGCCCAGTGTCAGCATAAGCATGATTGTAGGCTGTCGCGCTGTAGAGCCAGTGGTACCTATTCAACACATTGGTGTACAGCCTAGTGTACATGCCCTTGCCAGGGCCCCCAGCGCTGAAACTCCCGCCACCACCCATCATCATATTCAGCACACACATGGCTATGAAGTCTGGGTCCTGGTGGGAGCAGCCCTCGAGGCCCACGACAATGTGCGAGAGCTCTGGTAAACCACTTGGACCAGCGTAAACTGGAATACTGCACTCCTCGACGATGTAGCCCCCTGTGTACTGAGCCACCGACTCGTCCACCACGTGGGCCCCCCTGTCAGGAAGCACTAGACTAGCATCCTCGTCCCAAATGGCCCCCTCCTCCACGAAGTACTTCTCCACAGCCCTGACTAGGTCATTGTGATCGATTCCCACTCCAGCGACCACCATTCGCCTCGGGGTGTAGTGGTTCCTCAGGTACGTGAACAAAATCCTCCTGTCGATCTTCTCGATGTTCCCCTGGGGGCAGATCTTGGGGAGCCCCAGGGTGTTGTCTCTGTAGGCTGCGGCGTGGATCATGTCTATGAGGAGGGGCTCCTGCTCGGGTCTCGTCAGCAGGGACTCCAGCTCGAAGGCCACCGTTTGGCCGGCCACACTCAGCTCCTCGTCGGTTATCCTCGGTCGCAGGACTATGTCCCCCAGGACTTTGGCCACTGAATCCAGGCCGTGACGCTCCGCTGAGGCCGCGTAGACGAAGGTGTCCCTGGAGGCTTGGCAGTCGCAGATGCCTCCGTGCTTCTCCAGCATCAGCATTATGTGGTCTTTGCTCTCGTAGTTCTTCGTCGAGTTGAAGGCGAGCTTCTCCAGGAAGTGGGAGATCCCGCTGGGGTAGGCCACCTCGAATCTCGGGCCTGAGTCTATCAGGACTCCTATTGTGCAGAACTGGCCGAAACGGTTCTCCGAGGACACTCGCAGGCCGCTCGGGAGGACTGTTATTTCGGTGGTTTGGTGCTCCTCTTTGGCGCTAGAGTACACCGCCTTCGCGAGGTGCCGCAGAGGCTGGGATAGAGGGGGGAATCCCGTCACGCTGGGACCCAGCTCCGGGGGCTTGCTCTCTGAGGAGAAACATTTCCTCCAGGGGGGCAGGTACTTTGTGGGAGCTGAACTGCAACAGCATTAGATGAATGTCTTTAGTCGCGCTCTTATTTTTTCATTTTATTATTTTATTTAGGGGACGTCCATAAATCACGTGATCCAATTTTGGCTCATTTCTGACCCCCTCCCCCCCCCTGGTGATCAATCGTGACATTTCGTCGACGCTTTTGAAAAAAATTTTTTTTTTTTTTTAAAGAACTCTTGTACACGTCTAATGAACGAAAAATAATTTTATTCCAGAAACAAATCGTTAAAGTATATGGGTCATAGTTTCATCTCTTAACCCAGTTACATCGAGGGGTGTCTCCTGTGCCTCTGTGTATTCAAGTCCCTGGATTCCTCAGCGAAAAACGGCCAAGGCTGGGGCAATTTCTACTTTAATTCGTACGATTATAATTTTCTTACTTTCTCTCTTCTGATTTAATAACACTTGTTTGTTTGTTGGTACGCTGTACTATGTAAAATATTGTAAAACGCTGTATACTATTGGAGCATATATGTAGTTCATAAGGGGGAAAAGGGGGAACAAAATGTAAAAACCCGAGAGGGTATACATGAGACAAAATAAATAAATAGTTTCATCTCTTAAGTATATTAATTTCAATAGTATAATGTTTCGATATTTGATATCGATCACTCTGCAAATAGTTCCTCTTTGGAAATAGCCTTTTCTATCGTGTCTCTTTGGGAAAAGTCTTCTCTATATTAGCGTTTCATTAAATGAAACGAAATAATTTTTTTTTCCGTGGAAACTACACTTTTTCCCCTTTAGAATGAGCCTGAGCGTTCAAGTCGACTCATCTCCCAGGTGAGTTTTTGAGGAATATTTCCGAATCTAAGGGGGATAGCGAATTTTTCGTAATTACGTTTGTTGTAGCACTCAATCGGCTCCACAAAAAAGGTTATAACGACAATTTTGCTATCTCTCTTAGATTCCGAGATATTCATTGAAAACTAGTCAATAGTTAAAATTTACTTGTACCCTTTTTTATCACTTCGCTACTGATTTATTATTATCTTTTCATTTTCGATTTTCATTCTTTCATATCTTTTAATCCATTTTATCTCGGCAGTATTGATGCTTTGAAAAACTATCGATCATTCATAAATATTAATTAAACCATGTGTTTTATTATTTAATTAAAATATTATTATGGAATATAATAATAATATATAAATAATAATAATATATGATAATAATATATATAATATATTTATATTATATATAAATATTATTATGGAATATAAACCATGTGTTTCATTATTTAATTAAAATATTGTTATTCTTAAAAAATTTGGAATCACCCAGAATACGAAAAAAATTGAATGAAAAATTGAATTAAATTTCAAAAATATATATTTCACTGCATTTTTAATCAAGTTAACAAATTGAACATCCAAACGTTATTGATTTGATTTATGGGGGTGGGATAATTATAGAGATGTCTTGCATCACTGAGTGAATATCACGATTAGAAAATAGTTGATCCAGTTTGTGACACGAGAAGTAAAAACAAATATAATTTTTATCAAGCGATTCCAAGTTTAATCGAGCCTGTCAATTTATTCCGATATTATTTGCGGTTTGATTAGGGGCGAGAGAGGGTTACGTGCACAGATTACGATAAATAAAGTTTTCAGTTGATTAATTCGATTTACCCAGTCTTGAAAGCAGTGGTGAGCGGTCCCTGCGGTATTCTCGCCAGCATCTTAACGTCTGTGTTTATCTGTGTTCATAGATTTATTAGTTTATAATAATTTTTGTACAGACTTTTTGTACATAGAAAACATGCGAAACGGGACAGGCCGGGTTCGCACGCCGGCGACTGCCAAAAACTGTCGCTCATGCGACTGGGGCTTAAGGCACGCGCGGAAAAGCCCGCGAAATTACGAGTTCTTTTTCTGTTCGTTATGGTTAATCCTCATTCAAAGATGTTATGCCTTAGAGAGGGCGTTATTAGTTGTCTTATTTAAATCATTATTCAAATCAGCAGCGAAGTGGTAAAAAGGTATAAGTCAAACTTGACTATTGACCAGTTTTCAATGAATATCTCGGAATCTAAGGGAGATAGCAAAATTTTTGTCAGAAACTTTTTTGTAGAGCCGATTGAGAGCTACAACAACCGTAATTACGAAAATTTCGCTATCTCCCTTAGATTAGGAAATATTCCCCAAAAACTCAACGGGGAGATGGGTAACTTGAACAGTTTTACCACTTTGCTACTGAATGTTAAAGTCGATTTTTAATCAGTGGATGTGTCCGAAGGAACTTCCAATTTTTCCATCTATCAAGACAATCAATTTTTTTTTTATGTTGTTACAACATGACATTATTTATCATCAAGAATTCATCTTTATATTTGATAGCTTTAATATTATTTTCCGAGTAAATTTTTTGAATATCATCTACATTAACATTCACTGCACTCAAATCATTCGCTAATTTATTTCTCTTTAAGATATAATTCGGACAGTCCCCGGAATTACGAGTTCAATGACGTGTGCATTGTTACAATGATATTGATAATGACGATGTCGATTGGAAAGACAGTAATATTATTTTCAAAGCGCGCCTGCGCATTCGCGGTGCCGATCACCTTGAATTTTTTTCCCAGATAGAAAATTTTTTTTTTCGGTCCTTGAAAGATTATTCGCGATCGGAAACTCGGCGCACGGATAATTGTGCTCTCATTTGTGTGAAATATTTTCAACAAGATGCCGCGTCCGATTTTGTACTCGACGATTGTCAGCCAGCCCTGCCGAGCTGTACTCCTCACCGCGGAATCTATTGGACTGGAGCTGGAAGTTCGCGAGATCAGTTTGGTAGGGGAAGATCAGCTCAAGGAAAGCTATCAAAAAGTAAAATCTTATCTAGTATTCGTGAATAGTCGGCATGGATGCATTTCACATTTAACGTTTTTCAATTTCACGGGCAGATAAATCCTCAACATACCGTGCCGACTCTGGATGACAACGGCGACATCATTTGGGACAGGTGAATTCGGCAAACTTTGAATTTGATCGAGGCAATTAATGCGGAATTTTAATTCTTGTCGAACTATTGTTCGAATCATGCTTCGACGCTGAGAAAGTTCAAACAAAAAATAGAAAATGAGAAAGATTAATTCCATTTTTCTAAATAACTTATTTTATTGAGATATTTTTAATTGAATTTGAATCAAATTTCAATTTCATGAATTGAATTGAATTTCAATTCAAAGTTTTTTGCTTGATTTTCTTGATGAGAAGAAAAAAAATAGAAAATTTGAGCCGAGGAAATTCAATAAAAAATATCTGAAGACAATAAGTTAGATTTTAAAAAATTGAATTCTAAAAAATTATAGAAAGGTCAATAGAAATCCAATCTAATTTTCTAACGAATTCACTAGGTTTTTCTATTAAATTTTATTCCAATGAATCTTTAAATTACAGTCATGCAATCATGTGCTATCTGGTCGAGAAATACGGACAAAATGACTCTCTCTACCCGAAAGACTTGAAAAAGCGGGCGCTTGTGGATCAGCGCTTGCACTTCGACAGCGGAATCCTCTTCTCCCTTCTGCGGCAAATATCCGTAACTAAAAATCCCTCAGCACCCATTACAATTACTTCAATCATTGCCACTAAAATTATTCTTTCAGTACCCAATATTCTACGATAATGTGAAGATAGTACCGGAAGAAAAAATAAAACTGGTGAAGGAGGGCTACGACTTCTTGAGTAAATTTTTGGAGGGAAAAAAATGGCTTGCGGGGGATTCCTATACTCTGGCCGACATCAGTTGTGTCACTACACTGACTAGTTTGAATGTAAATAATTTTAATAACATAATTTTTTTAATTAAAATTTTTCTGTCACTATTTTTCTCCATTTCTCTTATTTCTCGCATCATCGATAGTTTTAATATTGACGGATATGAATGCATTCTACAGGCTTTGGTGCCGATCGATGTCTACCCCAACATCGTGCGTTGGGTAAAAACTTGCGAGGATGAGATTCAAGGGTACGCGAGACTCGGAGCCCCTGGGAATAAGCTGTTCCGCGAGAAGATCCAAGGGCACTTACGATCACCTAAATAGAAATCGCCTCGAAGGGTCCCCTGATCGATCGATCGATGGCTGATCGATAGTGGCTCAATAGGAGTTCGACTTGTTCAATCGATCGATAGCTGGTCGATCGTTGATTGATCACTAGGATAGGGTTAATCGATCGATGGTCAATTGCTAGTCGATCTATGGTCGATCAATCGAAGCGTGATTGATTGATCGATCTTGATCGTTTGCTAGTCGATCTATCGGCGATCAATCGAACCGTGATTGATTGATCGATCTTGATCGATTGCTAGTCGATCTATGGTCCATCAATCGAACCGTGATCGACTTGCAATCAATTAAAATCGATCAATTGTCGACAGCGCAAACAACTCGACTCGAACCCCTATCGAGTGATCCATCAGGGTCTGGCTATTTCTTTCATTTATCATGACTAATGAAGATTTCAATATGTTTATGCAATCAAATCAACTCCGTCAGCAAAAAGTTGTCGCTCCCGGAAAACTTATTATGTAACAGTTTTCACAGCGAGGAATAAATGAATACTGAAACACCCCAAGGTTATTATTCAATGATAATGAATGTAGATTGGGAAAACTCGACATCTGCGCACATTATGCTGCTGTACTTTGCGCAGAGGTGATTTATCCAATCTTTCCCCAGATTTCGGACTTTCGATGTTCGAATTCTGCTGGAACGTTTCTCATCGACTCAAAATCCCAATATCTCTGTTTATGAATAAGTTCAAGGTCAAGTTTATTTTTCCTTCCTTGAGATAAATTATCCTGCACAAAGGTGAGAGTCCTCCGCATAATTTGTTAATTTATAAATTTATCTCGCATAATCTGGAGAACGGAAATCTAAACCTCAATCGTTAAAACTATTCATATATTCTTCGCAGGAAAATTTGAGCAAAGAGTTTATTAATTAGATATCAAGGATCTACAGTCCCCGATACTGAAGAATACCCCCACTCTCTCGAATTTAGCTCCGACTCGACGCCCCCCACCACTCAGATCCAAGACCATTTTTTCTTAGCCGCTATGATAAGTAGATCGCAAATGGGCGCTGGCGGAGATCTACTGCGCCTGCGCACGAAACTCCGTTGACAATGATTGAGAGACATTCTCTAACGCGTGTCAGTACGACAATATATCTCTGGACATCGCGTATTCGTCGTAAATGAGGTACAGAAGAGAGAGAAAAAAATAAAATAAAGAAGGGAAATTGACTCAGGGATCTCGACGTCTTCATCTCGTTTTTAATTATATTTTCAGATTTTCTTGACAACTTAAACTTAAACATGCCCTCTCCGATATTGTACACGACGGACATCAGTCCGCCCTGTCGTGCAGTCCTTCTCACGGCTGAAGCTATCGGCTTGAAGTTGGAAAAACGCGAAACGAATTTATTTACGGCAGACACTCTGAAAGAAAACTTCCAAGAGGTGAATCAATTGATCTATTTATCAATGAGATTACATAATCATTCATTATTTAATTTCACGGAAACAGATGAATCCTCAGCATACTGTCCCCACTTTGGACGACAACGGCGACATCATTTGGGACAGGTGAATTTCGACGATTAATTATCGAAATTTTTTCGAAGTTCAATGTCAATTCTTTTTCTTTCTGTAATTTTGTATTTTCTAAATCGACTTCAGCCTGTTTACCGCTTCGCTACTGACGTATTTTTTGGGTTTCTGTTTTCCGCTTTGTGACTTATGTCATGATTACTTTGTACAACATAATGTGCAGTTAATAAATCTCAATCAATCAATCAGTCAATCAATCTGAAATTGCAGTCATGCTATCATCTGTTACTTGTCCGACAAATACGGAAAGGACGACTCTCTGTACCCGAAGGATCTGAAGAAGAGGGCCCTCATCAACCAGCGCTTGCACTTCGATAGCGGAATTCTGTTCGCTCTCCTGCGCGGAATAGCCGTAATTAATGACTCCCTCTCGTTGCACGGCGATTGCACGACTACAAGGCATTATTTTTTTCCAGTTTCCCATATTCAAGCACGGCGTAACGACAGTTCCCGAGGATAAAATACAACTGGTGAAGGACGGCTACCACTTCATGAACAAATTTTTGAGCGGAAAGAAATGGCTCGCCGGGGATTCCTACACCCTCGCGGACATCAGTTGTGTTTCTTCAGTCAGCAGCATGGAAGTAAATCATTTTATTTTCAAGCGAATCCCCTCAATCATTCCATAACTCTCTTTTAAACAATGAAGTAAAAAAATGGCAAAGTCTGAAAATCGGAAAAGATTCTGATGACTTTTACTTTGACTTTTGCCCCTTGAGATCGTGATTGATATTGACTTCTTGAATTATTTTTTTCATTTTTTCTACTTTCCAAGAACACTCGAAATGTTTGAATACTTCAACATTTGATTTACGGAGCAATTTTACAGGCGTTCGTACCCGTTGCGCCGTACGCCAATGTCGCCCGTTGGCTGAAAACCTGTGAAGATGAACTGCCCGAATATGCAAGATTAAACGTCCCTGGGAATAATCTTTTTCATCAAGTGATGAAGTCAAAATTGCAGCAATAAATTTGAAGTAGATTGACAGAGTGCGTTTTATCGTCCCCTGAGGTCCGAGGGTCTTCACTCATAATAAAAACAATATAAAAAATTATAAAACAGTTTATTATAAATTTAATAGTCTATTAAAATTATAAATTATATAATAGTCTATTAAAAATTTATAAAACAGAAAAATGATGAAATAAAAATTAGTCCTAAAACGTTCCGTTATTCCCTCAAACTAATGATATTGTTACGTAGAGCACAACAATCGCAACAATCTGTCTAATCGCAGAGTATTTGTACACCTTTATAAAAATAAAAATCCATTAAAGATTATTCTCCAATTCCGCTTTGATTACATTTGATTATCCCTCCGTTACCCGCGTCCTCGGCCCCGCGCCGGTGAAATTCTATTTTTTAGTATAACTTCAAAAAGAACTCATTAAAAAATATGAAAAAAATAGTATGCCTCGCTCATTTTATCTAAAAGCATATTCTGCCATTTATTTTTAGAAAATTTCCTCCTATGCTAACTGGAAATAAAAAATACGGCGCCGTATCGCGACGCGGCTGATCGCGTCATGGAAATATTTTACACGGCGTTGCCGCACTTGTTGCTGCCGGGAGATCAGCGAGTCCACTCTCCGAATGAATTGTGACAACAGCGCGCTCAGATTTACAGCGCGGTGCGGCACCGCGATGCGAGTAACCGCGTCGGAAAGTTTCCCGCGAGAAACGAAGGCTTAAATTACACCATCACTCCCCACCGGGATAATTAAGATGATTAAAGCTCTTATCCACGAATCTCATCCTGATCCCATCCCTCTCCTGGGAAACCGCGATGGTCGTTCCATTGACATCACGAAGATCTCCGAATTCAAAAACCGAATTTCTCGTCTTGATCCAGCTTTCCGGCACGCGTTCATAATCCTGCCAGTCATAAACCGCCCAATCATTAACCGCCGCGGAATGTTTCTTGACCCTGAGCCCGAGAATGAGAGAGAACTCGACATTATCCGCGACCTTGGTCTGCAGCGGATGCAGCTTCCCCACGACATTCCTCTCGACATAAGAAATAGATCTGCTGAATGGCGCCCGATCCGCCACCTCCCGCTCCAGCCACCCGAGCTGCTCCGGCCCGCCGAAATGCTGCAGTTTATCTTCGTAAAACGACTTGATGTTCATCGTGATCTGGGAAGAGGCCTTGAAATACGCGTGAAGAATCTCCAAGAGTTTCGCGTTGAACATGAATCGCGGGTAGATGACATCGAAGTTGTTCTGCGTTATGCCGGACGAGTGAAGGATATGTCGTTGCGCGTGCGTCAGCGGAGTGGCCGGCATCCAGCCGAGAAGATTGGCGGTTGGCAATCCTGGGTGGGCCTGCGTCGTGAGCGGCGCAAGCTCCTCCGGCAAGTCCCAAAGGGGATTCCCCGTTGTGTTGGTAGTGTACAACAGATCTTGCTGAATCGCCTGAGCCATGACGGCCGGAGCCGGCATGGACATGTACTTCCAGTGGGTCGAGCCGTCCACCCGGCCGAAGTGACCCTCATCGTTCGGCCAAACGATCACCGAGTACTCGAAAAACTGTCGGTCCCCCGATCGCGGCGTAATCTGCAGATCCCCCAGGTTATACAAGAAAATGAAAATGCTGTAGGGAACGCAGGACGCGACTCCGTACACGTGTTTCGCGAATCGCTGCTCCTCTTGATCGCCCAGACCCTTAGCGACACGAATTTGCGCTAGGCGGGCGTACAAGTGCTGAACCATGTAGTAACGGTACATTGAGAGGGAGATTCTCTCTTGGAAGCCCTCGTCCTTGCTCGCTTTTATCCAGTAGGCCCTGTCAACTAGTGGGAGGAAGGATTCGTATGTTGTGGTGAAGCTGGCGCAGTCCATCACGTAATTACCACCGTGCGGATCCTGCAATGATAACAGGCCTGCAAAATTCAAACTCGAAAATTTTTGCATACTGATTTCAAAGCCGCCGACCAATTGTATTCAGACTTGTGTTCACTTTGACCGTTACACAGTAAAAGAATATCAACTTTCTTTTATTAAAAAGAAGTATCCAGTCACTTACGGCATAGATAAAATGTGAAATTAAATATAAAATCATCATCAATAAAAATTATGTGGCGAGAGTCATCACTAAACCTTGGGCTTCTTTGAGGCCCATCATGACAATAATGTAAAATTATTGGCCAATAGGTTACCCCATCCGCCGACCAAATCTCATAAAATGACTTCCCACGCGAAAAAATTTATATTTTGAAAAATAGATAAAAAAATATGCTAAATGGCGCAATTTATATAGAAAATATTAAATATATGGTTTATATATATTTTTATATATTCTTTATAAATTGGACATTACATATATAATACGACAATTTCATTATTATTATTGATAATATTATCACTATTTTATAGATTTTTGCTGTTACCCTTTTAACTTTATTTTTTCCACCACTGGCATTGTTGACGCAGGGTGTGTGAGTGCTACCGCCCACGTGCAAAAAATTCAAACTGCAGATTGAAATGAGCAGAAGAAAGAGTAAATCCATTCCCTCCATTTTCATGAGGACTCAACGGTGATCTTCGGGTTTTTGGAAATAGTGAAATTTTTTGGATTTAGCGGGGTTTTATCTCTGCTCCTCACGTCTTACACAATTGATCTGCTTGCGATCAAGGATTTAATAATTATACTGCGCGTATAATGTCGCGCTTGCGCATTGAGAATGTAAATCACTCCGGTGAATAGATCTCACCGGTTTGTAATACATATCTTGTTGATTGTAGGAATAATTGACGCATCTGGAGTCATCGATTGAGGATAAAACCTCAGCCAGGAAATGATTTTTCCCCGTTCTAGTGGATATCGTAGGCGAAAACGATAAACATGTTGACGCATTCAAGTCGATTTTCACTATTAGTCAGTTTTTAATAAATATCTCGGAATCCAAGCCGGATAGCAAAATTTTTGTTGGAACCTTTTCTGCAGAGCGAAGTGAGAGCTACAAAAAATGTCATTACGAAAATTTCGCTATCTCCCTTAGATTTCGAGATATTCCAGGAAAACTCTGCAAAGAGCTAAATTGAATTATTTTACCGCGACTTTCGACTAGCTCTCAGCCAATTCTATAAAAAAATTAATGGCATCCAACGCCTGGACATGGATTTTCCTATTTTTCTGCTTTATTTTTCCTCTCTTTTTTATTTAAAAAAATAAACAAAAAAAATTGTAAAATTTGAGCCGAGGAATTTCTGTAGAAAATATCTTAATAGAATAATTTGCACAGAAAAATCCGATTCTATTAATTTTTTTAATAGACTATTTTTTATAGAACAAAAAAACACGGAATTTCTCAATAGAATTGGCCGAAAACTCAGGAAATTCGATAGAAACCCAATGAAATCATAAATATTCACATTTTATTTATTTATTTGACGTTCATCGAGTGATAGCGGGAGCCGATCAACCACTATCATCCCCATAATTTACAAGCGCTGTCAAGTACTTCATCCATAAACTTTATTACTGTTCCCATCGCTCATAAATATTCTTGGCTCGACGAATTTCCCCTTGAAAAAGCCGATGTTCTGTAACATCGAAGGATAAGTCTCTCGGAAGAGCACGCGACGGGACGATTTGAATCTCCGAATTACTTCGAGTGAAGTATTTATTCATTTCAAGAATGAATCGCCTGCAAATAGCGTTTCTGATGATTGCTCTGATCATGGGAATAATCCATCGCTTCCTGGAAATTCCTCTTCGACTTTTCAAAAAATTACCGATCGGGTGAGTATTCGGGTTTTTTCTCCTCTGTTCATTTCGATTCAAACTGTTTTCTATTTTCGTTCGACAGGTGAGTGAGGGGGGCAGCAGAAGAACTATTCCAGCCGATGGATTATATTCCTGGCGGAAATTTGGAGGGAAGAGTCGGTTATAATGGCGGAAAATTTTATTTTGTTGTTATTCTAATAAAATGAAGTGATGTTTGGAAGAAATGTATTGAGGATTAATTTTATTGTTCAGTCCTTTTCCGCTTCTTCAGAGCCCCTTAGTGAGGGGGCGCAGCCCCCTAGTAAGGGGGCACAGCCCCCCCCCTCTACAGGCGAAAAACCGAGTCATTTCAAAATGAAAAATCGTTATTTAAAAAAACTCCATAATCTTACTTTCAATTCAATTACTTTTTTTCAAGAAACTTTTGTCTGCAATATTTTGTTAATTTTTAATCAAAGAAAAACGCAACTATCTCAATTTTAAAAAATTATTTGTAAAATATAATAGTCTCATTCTTACCAGAATTAACTTTATGTATAAGCATTTAAGGCATTGGGATTAATTTGTTCAGTCGTCTGCTCCTTTAGGAGACCAGGGGGGGCAAAGCCCCCTGATGAGGGGGCGCAACCCCCCCTCATAAACGAAAAACGGAATTATCTCAAAATGAAAAATAGTCTTCTTCGAAGACCCATAATCTTACTTTCGATGCAATCATTTTTTAAAGGAAATCTTGTCCGCAATTTTTTGTTCATTTTTAAATAAAGAAAAACATGAGTATTTCGACGAGAAAAAATTATTTTTACAATACAATAATCTCATTTTTAATGCCATTATATTTTCAACCTTATCTATAACATTTTAATAATTTTATAACATTGTTATAATTTTTTTTTCAATTTTTTCAACAGAATAAATTTTATCTCAACAAAAAATTCTCTTTTTCAAAATATTTTTTCGATGTTTTTTCCTTTTACTTTTTATACTGTACTTTTTTTAAATTATTCAATATTAAACATTAAGAGCAAGAAAAAAAACAATTAAATTTTCATCTCCCGATAATTATCACCTCCACAGATGGCGCTCTACCCCCCCTTCCACTGCTGATTTTTTTTTTTTCGTGTGAAACCACATGAGAGGTGCCCAACAATTGTGGTTATCCCAATAATTAATCTTCTAAATGGAATAACAAATGATAGTGAAGCATTGAGAGTGTCTCCGAGCTCATATTCTCCGAGTGAATATCATGGCAAAGTTATTCAGAGCTTGCTCTGGCTTCAACGTCTTCACCAATTTCCTAAAACCCAGGTAATGCCCAGTCCCTGCAGCCCCTTCAACCATTGTTTTCTTTATTTCATCAATTAACATGTTTATTGCAGACTTGAAGTGGTGGTAGTGCCCAACAGGGGAAGAAAAAGGCTAAATCCACCCCCTAAAAAACGCCATCCCCTGTGGTTTTTGCAGCAGGATCGTGCGGTTAGTAATAAATAGTAAAAAAAATTGGCGAAAAATTCCCCTTTTGTGTTTTTATTCACATGAAATTCATATTTTTTCACACAAAATTGACGTTTTCTTCATTACAAACTCCTGTTTTGATTATTTAACTAAACTCTATTAATAATACATGAAATAATTTTGATCTTAATCTCACACAATTAAAACCTAGCGAAAGAAAATACAGCATTCATCCAGGAAATGATTGATATTTCTTACAAAATGGCTTTGACTCAAACTTTCTAAATTTTCTTGATGGAAAGAAGAGAAAAATAGAATGAAGAAAACTGGGAAAATTTGAGCCGCAGACAATCTATAGAAAATATCTCCAGAGAAGATTTGGCGAAAAACCAATAGAAAGTTCAATAGAAATCCAATAAAATTGTCTATTAAAATTTAGTTTTATTCGTATTTTTCTTCACATGTTCGCAGGCAATAAATAATTTTCTCATTATAAACTGTTATTTTCACGATCTAAACAAACTCTCTATTAATAATAAATGAAATAATTTTGACATGACGAAGAATCCAATGAATGACAATTTATATTCATCTCAATCTCATTGAAGCAAAAAACTCGAAATTAATTGTACTTCACAGCTGAACAAGGACGACATAACAAAGGAGAATGCAGCCTTCGTCCAGGAAGTGATAGAATCCAAGTATGGCACCCCAGACCCCCAGAGTGGCTCTTACTCCCCCCTGAAGGTGCCCCCCATCGAGCCGACAGCAGAGTGGACTCCAGAGTCCCGTCGCACAGGGGTGATTGCCAGGAAAATCGGCATCTACCCCATGTGGCTGAAGAACGGCAAAAAGGTCCTGACGACTCTGCTCCACGTCTGCGACAACCACGTGATTAAGTATATTCCCCCTGAGGACTGGACACCGATGATCCAGCCCTCCAGACGCCCTGTCCTCCCCAAGAGAAAGCAGGGGTGTCTTCTCGTTGGAGCCGACAGTGTTGATCCCCAAAAATTCACCAAACAGTACTGCGGACTCTTCACCGAGGCTGGAGTCATGCCTAAGAGACTCCTCTGTCGCTTCATGGTGACACCAAATGCTGCGTTGCAGCCGGGAACTCCTCTCATGGCTTCGCATTACAGAGCTGGGGATTTTGTCGACATCAGGGCTAAAACGTAATTAGTTCTTGGGCTGCACGTGATTTTGTCAAGATTTGACAGTTCAATATTTTTTTTAATTATTCAATTCATTTTTTATTAATAATTGTTTTTGAATTTTTTTGGCTGAATTGTACGTGAGTGCAATCTCAGGAAAATTGTAAATTTAGTGAATTTGCTAGGATATTTACTGACAAATTTCGCAGCTTGAAATGAAATTATTTTTTATAATAGAAAAGAAAAAGTTAATGGGAAAGTCTTGGTTTTAAGACGATTTTCTGTCGATTTGATCATTAAATATTCTATTCAGTGATTTAATTAATTGATTATTAATAATTGTTATTGCATTTTTTGGATGGAATGTTGCAGTAATTAAATCTGAGGAAAACTGAAAAATTTAGTAAATTTGCCAGAAAATTTAATGAGAAACTCATGATTTTAAAACGATTTTGTTTCGACTTGACAACCAAAGATTTACTTCAATTATTTAATTCCATGATTATTAATAATTGTTATTGCATTTATTATTTTTACTGAAATGTTACATGAGTGTAATCTGAGGAAAATTGAAAATTCAGTGAATTTGCTAGGAAATTATTTTCTATAAAAGAAGATAAAAATTTAATGAGAAATTTATCATTTTAAGACGATTGTGTTTCGATTTGACAATTAAATATTTTTTACAATTATTTAATTAATCGATTATTAATAATTGTCATTGCATTTATTATTTTTCGCAGAATGGACAGGGGTTTCCAGGGGGTGATGAAACGCTGGGGCTTCAAGGGTATGCCAGCAACCCATGGAGTCACGAAGACCCACAGAAGACCTGGAAATATCGGTTCTGGTGGTAATAAGTCTAGAATCATGCCTGGAACTAAACTCCCTGGACATATGGGAAATCGATACAGAAAATTCGTAGGAATCAAGGTAAAATCCAAAGTTTTCTAAGTTGCATATTTCATTTTCTTGCAATTAAATTGAATAATCTAGGAATTAACTGATTTCTCAGAAAGCAAATGCCTCATTTAAAAAATTGTTGTTAAAAATTCAGACATTGCCATAATCCACAATTTCAAATATTTCAACTATTAATAATACTCACTATTTGTTTAATTATTAATCATCAATTAATGATTAAAATTCCGAGTAATTCTACCAATCAATAATTGATTTCAGAAGAAAATGGAGTCAATTATCGAAATTATGAAATTAAGAATTATTTACTCAATAATTCAATATTTAAATTATCAATTATTTTATAATTTCTCAAATTTCAATGAAGATAAGTAAACTTCACTTATTCTAAAGTTCAGTTTCTCATAATATCATTGATCTAATGATGAAACAAAATTATTTTGTGATAATCGTCTCCCTCTCCAGATTCTCCGAGTAGACTACAAGCACAACGTCCTCTGGGTGCTGGGCCAGGCCCTCCCCGGAGAGACAAACAGTCTCCTCCAGATCTACGACAGTATCCTGAACCACAGGAAGATAAGGGAAACCGAGAGAGCCCCACCTTTCCCCACGTACATCCCCGGAAAAGCGCCGCTCCCCGATGTGCAATGGGACGAGTCCCTCCACCAGTTCGACGCCCCAACGATAGAATTCGAAGTCCCCGACAACAAATAATCCCAACCCATCAACTGAAGTAATTGTAAAAACAATAAAAAATAACCACCACAACTGTTCATTTTCCTGTAAATTTATTCATAGCTGTAGATAACTTCGGGGAATTCAGGATTGTTGCTACCTGTCAACATGAGTGATGCTTGACATTTAAAATCTTAAAAAAAAAAATTATAAATGAGATGAATGTGTTTATGCTACAGTTTTATTGTTGCTGCTCCGTACAGAACGTCCGTTATATTTAAACCTACCGATGAAGGAGTAGTGGATTCCAATTGATTCTGATAATCAATAGTAACTATAAATTTAACATGCCTAAAATATACACGAGTGGTGGTTATTCACCTCGTTTTAGTCATCTCTTTTCCCCCAAAATTATGATAATTGAACCAAGACTCCAGACAAAAAAGCCCCGGCCATTGGAAAATACGAGTGACATCCAATCAATTTCAGCGCATAATTTCACTAAAAATCCTCAAATCGAATGCAGAAAAAAAATTGAAATAAAATAAAGGAACAATTCGATAATTAATATTCGACATTACGCCCCACCTACCGAACTCATCATCGCAAATAATAATCATCACTGTTGTTTATTCCTCCCGCGGGAAAAAAGAGTATACGCACCAGGAACTAGACTCTTGGTTCAAATTAATGGACCACAGGCGCAAAGTTTCATTATCCATATTGAAGGAAGGAAAGGAAAAAAATGAAATAAAAATATAGTATTGAACAGCGCCTCGTTAATTATCATCGGAGCAGTGTGATCGTATCGTAATAGAAGATAAAGTAAAGCAATGTGTCTCCGTACTCATGTTGAGTTAATGACGTCACAATTACAGATGTGAGACAATCTCAGAATTTGAAGCCCTCGCTTGGAATTGTTGTTGTTGGATCAAATTCAAATGTCACATCAGTTACCTGAGGTGCAAGATTTGTGTCATCGGTCTGTAAATTAAAAAAATCAATTGTTTATTTAAAAAATTCAGTAGGAACAAATTAATATGAGGTAATAGGCCTACTTGAATAAAGTACCAAAGTACTTTAGTCAAAGTACCAAAGTACTTTGTTACTTTGGCTAAAGTGATTTGTTACTTTATCTAAAGTACTTTTGTACTTTATCTAAAGTACTTTGATACTTTATCTAAAGTACTTCGGCTCAAGTACAAGAGTACTTTGACAAAATTACTAAAGTACTTGACCAAAGTACTCAAAATATTTTATCAGTGAGATTTTTAAAAGAAAAATAAATGGAATAAAACTGTATTTACCTCCTCTGAGAAGTATTGCTCAATAATATCATAAGCTAATTTATATATCTCTACATTCTCATGTGTCTGTAATTGTTCAATTTTATCCAAGCCACTGCACTCTTCGATCATATTGGCGAGTTGTTCTACCTCTGGACCAGCATGTTTGAGCATATTGTGAATGCCATCAAGCACAACTTGAATAACTTGTGTGTCCTTGCATGACAGAAGATCGCAGAATGGCTCGATAACTCCCTCGTGCACCAGTCGTGCCACCTGATCCCTATTGCCACTTATCGTGAAGTTGCTGATTGCCCAGGCGGCCTCTTTCTGAGTTTGAAAATCAGATTTTGAGAGATTACGGATTATCAGGGGAAGGAGGCCGGCCTCGATGACAGCACCAACTTGCGCCTGATTGCCGGCTGTTATGTTTGACAAGAACCACACGGCCTCTTTGCATATTTTGTCCTTGGTGTGGGTGAGAAGATTCTGGAAGTGTGAGAGGGCACCGCAGTTGAGGACAGTCTGGGTTTGTTCGTCGGTGCCAGTGACTATATTTCCAACTGCTCTTAAAGCTGCTGTCTGCAGTTTAACTTCCTTGTGGGAGAGGAGGGGAATGAGACGGGGCACAACACCACTGTCTATCACCATCTGTATCTGCTCGTTTCCACTGTCTGTCAAGTAACTCAGCGCCCAGACTGTGTCGACCAGAATGTTGACATCGGAGTGGTGAATCAGTATGTTCAGGGCTGGGAGAATTTCCTTTATCGTTTGGACTGGTGGCGGGGGATCTTTGTTTCTACACAGATTCACTATTACCCACGTTACGTTTCGCAGAAATGTTATTGGTATGTCGGGTTTTATGAATTGTAACAGGGGTTGAACCACTCCTAGGTTGATTACGTAGTCCCTGGGCGCTGGTCCGTCACCAATGATATTCCCTGGGGAGTGAGAGTGGGGATTATTTGGGGGTGAGGGTGGAGGAGTTCACGTTAGCACGTAAATTCGTTCATTGAAGTCTTTAGTGTTTGGGTGACAAATTAAAAAACAGTAGTTGAAGCAAAGAATAAAGAAAATAACTAAATATAAATAAATAACGAAATATTCATTGTTATATTACTATTTATATTGATGAATAATATTAATATCAATATTTTCATTTATTATTATGAATAATTAGTGAAAAATGAAATAGATAGAAATTATGGAAATTGGTAAAATAGACATTTCTGAAATTTTATCATTTATTTAGTGATTTAAATTAATGAATGAAGAATTTGGGAGATACGTACCTAAAGCCCATACGGCCTGTTCGCATACATTTTGTTGGCTCGACATCAACAGTTGTAGGAAGAGTGGTACAGCACCAGCTCCCACTACAGCCTGAGTTTGAGCTGATGTGCCACTGGCGATGTTTGTCAATGCCCATGCTGCCTCGAATTGCAACGAGGGGCTGTAAGTAAAATCAGCAATTCATTTGGTTCTTTCGGTTTTGGAAGTGGAGACAGTATTAAGCCAATAATTCATGCTTTTCTTGATGTTAATGATCTCGTAAATTCATCAAAATGAGAAAAATACTCTTTTGATGTTCGAAATAATGAGTCAAGTTCTGTAAAAATATTACAAAAAACGGTTCAATATCGACATTATATTTCAGACCTGCAAAGTTTGAATCATAAAATCATTGGAAAATGTCAGGAGACTTAGGGTCAAAAGGGTGCAAACGAAAGAGCCAAAATACTTGGCTCCTTAAATTAATCCGATTACTTTTCAATAAATATCTCGGAATCTAAGGCAGATAGCCAAATTTTTCTCATGAGCTTTTTTGTAGAGCGAATTGCGAGCTACAAAAAAGGTGATCACAAAAATTTCGGTATCTCCCTCTGATTCCGAGATATTCCTCGAAGACTCCAGCCAGGGCTAAATCGACTTGCACAGTTTTACGTACTTGTCATGCTGTTCGAGACAGCGTACTAAAATTGGTAAAATTCCGCTCTCAATGAGTGGATCAATGGGTGGATTTTTGTCAGACGACAGTAACTTTCGAGCCGACTGAACCGCCTGCAATTGTTCTACCGGATCGCTCCCCGCAGCTTTCTGTACAAGTTCCACCAAATTTATACTGGACAGCGTCTTCTCGATGTCGTCCTCATCTGCAAAATAAAAATAATAATGGACTTTAGACTTTTTAAAATTATTCATAACTCAGAAACAAATTTACCAATCGAGCTGTCCCTTGTATTGAAAAAACAAATTATTAAATTTTATCAGCATTTCAGCCCTTCATTAACCTTTTAAAAAAACCAAAAATGTCCGTTTTACCCCAACCTCCCCTACTGAAAAGATATTTCTCTCAAGTAAATGGATATTTGGCAAGAATAATTTATTTCCCAGTGCACTCACCAGTTGAGTCAGCAATGGGAACGTTTCTCCTCTTCTGCAGAGTCTCCTCTCGTTTATTTTTCCGCAGCTCCACTGTCACTTCGTTTCGTCGCCTCCTCATCTCCTGGCACAACGTGAAAAATCATTAGACCGAGCATTTCCCACCGAAAAGCTTGAAATGGTGGGCCAACACCATTCGAAGCCCTTTTCCCTCAGCAATGTGGCAATGCCTGAGGGATGAATCACGCCGCAGTGCAACGGATTCCCCCTGAGGGCCGCCTCCCCACGTCGACGAGCCCCCGACACTCCACCATAACCACGGGAGAAAAAAAAATAGTGACAAAAGTGAAAACTCACGTCTTGATCCTTCCCTTTGTTCTTAAACACCATCATCCTATTCTTGTTTTGCATTTCGGCGGCCATTTTTACAATAACCAATATGCGAATCTCCTTCGGGTTTTAGCGTACAAAACTGATGTGCCGGCACCAAAATTAGTGGCACAACTCCCCCCCCCCGTGCTCCACCGAGTGATGTCCAACGGTTAAAAAAAAGGAATTATTCCCGAAACCACGCGCAACACTCGAATCACTTTTTCACCTGCATTACGTATATCGTAACTCCACTTGTTCACGAAATTCACGGGTATGATTATGCAGTGGCATGCATAAACGTTTGGCTCAGCTGCACGAGGACTAGTTTTTCGGGATTTCCTTGCGGTTACAACGGCGATTCGGGCAGTCACGTTTTTTCTGGGGGCCCATAGGCAGCCACAAGGCGTTTTCAGAGCGCAGTAACAGCGAGAAAAAACGAGAAGGGAGTGAGAGACACCGAGTGGCCAGCACCGAGGGGAAACTGGTTGCCAAGAGTTTCGGCAACGGCGAGAGCTTGTCATTCTCATCACCGCGACTGCTGGCGTCACTTCCGAATGTGGGGGAGTGCGCATCCAGCGACTGAACGCTCGGCGATGATTCGTGATTGGTTTCTTGATTTTGGGCTTTTTTGGGCTCACGGCTCAAGAAATTGTTTTCTTGATTTTTTTTTCTGGTGGGAATTTCCTTTCTGCAGAGATGGGATTTGCAATTTTATCTGCGCAATTTGTTTTTAATAATTAAGAATTCCATTGGATAAGTTTTTATTGTTCATTCTTGATGATAATGAATTATTGATTTGAACTTATAATTCCATTCTTCGGTTTGTAATAATGAAAAAATCGTTGTTCTCGATTTGTTTTATTTTTCATTATTTTTCGGATGATTTTAAGTGTTTGGAATTCACTATTGATTATGAGAATCATTCAATTGGGCAATTCTCTTTGTAGAACGCATGGACGACCAATGAAATCTTGTTATTACTCAAGCAAGAATTCCATTGGATAAAAATGTTCACTGTTCGAGAATTCTTGATGACCTTCACAATTTATTTCAATTCACAATTCCACTCTTCGGTTTTTAACAATTAAAAAAATTCCTTAATCCTTTCCATTTTTTTATTATTTTTTGGATCATGTCAAGTGTTTGGAATTTATAATAAATCATGAAAATTGCTCAATTGGACAATTTCCTTTGTAGAACGCACGAGCGACCAATGAAATCTTGTCACTGCTCAAGGAAGAATTCCATTGGATGAAAATGTTCGCGATTCAAGAATTCTTGATGACATTCACAATTTATTTGACCTCCCCATTCCATTCTTCGGATTCTAAAAATTGAAAAGTTGCTTCTCCTCGATATATAAATTATAGTATAGTTATTTTTGCTAATAAATTAGAATATTGCAAAATTATTATTTAGCATATTGCTAAATTATTCAAAATAACTTTACTATATAGCAATACAATAGCAATTTTCCACTCGTTTATTATTTATTAGATCATCTCAAGTATCAACAATTAATCATTGATGATAATTGTTCAATTGGACGATTTCCATTGTAGAACGCGCGAGCGACCAATGAAATCTTGTCATTGTTCAAGCAAGAATTCCATTGGATAAAAATGTTCGCTGTTCAAATGAACCCCAGTGACACTCCCGAAATACTTTCGCAACTCTGGTGAACATATCCGCAACACCATTACTCCCCAGACATAAATAAATAAATAAAAATGTGACGGAAACTGTTTTTAGATTGAATTTCCAATTGAAACTCAATAGGCAACTTTCTAGGGGTTTAATAGATTGCGGAGAATGATTTCCCCTCGTTAATTACCCGGCATTGAGGTGTATATTAATCTCGTGAACTTTGGAATCGCATAAATTCCAGAGGATGATCGACAATTTAACGAGTTATGGACCACAATCATTTGAAATGCCTCTGAGGAAAATTAACGTTCTGGAACTCGCGGGTCTCGCTCCGGGCCCTTTCTGCGGGATGATCCTCGCCGATTTTGGAGCCACTGTCATCCGTGTGGATAAGGTGTTCATTCAAAATAATTATTTATACTTAAAAATAGATAAAGATAATTGAATGAATTGAATTTAACAACTCGTTTCGTTTTCCTATGAGCTACATTTGACTTTAAAATAGTCTTCCCTGAAAATTTATTTTTTGAAATCTAATTTGTTGTCAACAAATTAGTTTAATTGATTTCAAAAAATAATTATTTGTTTTAAAACATAATTTATTCATCATAATGTGTTATTAGTGATTGAATTTATCGACTCACTTCATTTTTCCATCAATTATATTTTACTCTGAAATATATTTCCCTGAAAATTTACTTTTTTAATTGAAATTTGTCGTCAATGAATTAATTTAATGAATTTATTTTCACTCAGATAGGGTTAAAACAACGCGATTACGTGGCGCATGGAAAAAGATCGATTGCCTTGAATTTAAAGTCTCCGAAAGGAGCGGAAATATTCAGAAAACTGAGTAACAAAAGTGATGTCGTAATAGATCCATTCAGAAAGGGTGAGAAAATTATCATTAATTAATTATCAATTATTTAAAAAATTAATAGAAAATTCCTTCATTAAGAAATTTTACAAGAATTCTTGACCCAGAACTTTCAATTTGTTTAGTCCTAAAAAACAAATGAAAATAACTAAACAAAGTAGGTAAATTTATTCGCAGGAATTTCTATAAAAAACAAGAATCTGTTGACTTTTTTAAATAAATTTTTCCATGTGTCTTAACAAAATGATATAAAATTGCATAATCTTCAGTAGAATTTGTGACAAAAAAATTGATATAATTTTTAGATGGTTGTTCTATTTAATTTTTTCAAGCGTTCGTTTATTCGTGATTTCTATTGTTTATTTATTTATTTGTTTATTTATTCAATTAAATGAATATTTATTTTATACAGTAATATATATATACCTGTAATAATAATAATAATAATAATAATAATATGTAATAATATGTAATAATTATAAAACTGAAAAATCAATTATTTGAAATAATAATAATTCTTTTCAGTAAAATATAATGATAGTTTTTTTTCAAATTTATTTATTTACTCATTCACACCTCAATTTAATAAAAATACTTCAAGGTGTGATGGAACGATTGAAGCTAGGCCCTGAGGACCTCATGAAGACCAACAAAATGCTGATCTACGCCAGACTCACTGGATTTGGGCAGGAAGGCCCCTACGCCAGGATGGCAGGCCACGACATAAACTTCCTTGGTTTATCAGGACTCCTGTCCCTCTTCGGTCGAGCCAATCAGAAGCCAACACCTCCCGTCAATTTTGCAGCGGATTTTGCCGGTGGAGGACTGACCTGTGCTCTGGGAATCGTCATGGCTCTTTATGAGAGAACTCAGAGCCAGATGGGGCAGGTCATCGATGCCTCCATGGTGGAGGGCTCTGCCTACGTTGGGAGCTGGCTGTTCAGGACACAGAAGAGTATTCTATGGGGAAGACCACGGGGACAGAATGTGTGAGTGGAAATTATTGGTTTAATTTTAAAAGATTTTGATTTATATTATATTTTAATTGGAATTTCAAAAGAAAATAAGTCATCAGATTTTGCAGAATAAATGAAAAAATGAATGAATGAATAGTGAATTTTTTTCAAGTTTTCAGATTGAAAATGGCTTCATAACTTAATAGTTAATTATTATTAATTATTATTAATTAATAATAATTACTATTATTACTATTATTATTAATACTATTATTATTATTACTATTACTATTATTATTAATTATTATTAATTAATAATAATTACTATTATTAATAATTGTTATTAATATCAATTAATAATAATTAATGATTAATTATTGTTAATCAATGGTTCATAAATTATTATAATGATGAATATTGTTAAATGTTGCATTATCGCCACATTTCCTCAAAACTTTAACAACAAATTCCCATTAAAAAATGAATAAATAAAGATAACGCCATTATTTAAATTAAACTTCATAAATTTTTCAACAGATTGGACTCCGGTGCTCACTTCTACGACACATACGAAACCCAGGACGGAAAATTCATGGCAGTGGGTGCCCTAGAGCCCAACTTCTACTCAATATTCCTGGAGAAGCTGGGCCTCACCGACGACGACGTGCCCCAGCTCTCGAACTTCGAGGAGAGCAAGGCGAAGTTGTCAGAAATATTCAAGCAGAAGACCCAGGAGGAGTGGAGTAGAATCTTCGACGGGACCGACGCCTGCGTGACTCCAGTGCTGTCCCTGGAGGAAGCCCCAAGACATCCCCACAATAAATTCCAGGATTCTTTTGCTGTCACCAAGAATGGAACTGTTGTTCCCAAACCGTCTCCAAGGTTGTCCAGAACCCCTGGAAAATCAAATTTCGAGGGGGTGAATCCAGTGCCTGGGGAGAACTCCAGGGAAATACTGGCAGAATTTGGGTTTGGGAAGGATGAAATTAACGAATATGTCTCTTCAGGAGTTGTCCAACAGGTTCTTAGAAAATCAAAGCTATAGTTAATTATATTATTTTTTATAATTATTTTTTTTATTCATATAATTATAATTAATTAATATAATTATAATTATTATAAAAAAATAATATAACAATATTATAATATAATAATAATAATCTTCATTATTATTATTATTATTATTATATAATTTATAAAGATAAATGAAAAAAAAAAATTCTAATTTTACTCTGACAATTTTCAGTTATTGACAGTTGAAAAAAATTTATTTTACAGTTTTCCCCAATTGAGAAAGGAATGGATTAATTGGGAAATCAATTTGATAAAATATGTATTTTTGATAAGAGAAAATAAATAATATTGAATTGGTTTCTGCCTGATTTATTATTCAAATTTACCTCTTTGGTTTTAATCAATCGATCCCATTGGCAAATTCTCCTGGAAACGACGCTATTTTCGGAGGCACTAGCCAATGGGATTTGAGGAACTGCTGGCCGTTGAGAACGCTCCAAAACCGGGCTGGAGAGTGAATTGACATCTTCCAAGTGCAGAGTAACCAAACAAGTCAGTCAGTGAATTATCAGGTAATTATCGAGGATCATTCCTTCATCGAGAATTCTAAGCTCTTGGAAAATGTCGAGGGATGTTGATTGATCTTCAAAAGTGCTTTTGTGATCGAAATAACGTATCAGCGATGAATAACTCGTATGATAGGTTATGTCAGCCTTGTTTGAAGTCATCCCTGTCAACATTTTCTCCTAAAAAAAATTTTGATTACAAAAAACTGCATTTCACACTGTAAATTCATAATTTCAAACACAGTCATTGATTATTTATTCTTATATCAATTGGGGTGATTGATTCATCAATATATTGTCTTGGTTACTGAATTAATCAGGCAAATGTTTCGTCTTGATCATTTTATTGATCTTGTGCTAGAGAATTTATGTGAAAATATTCTTAATTATTTAATTTTCCAGTTCCCAAAAATCGACGAAACTCTCCAGAGATTCCAATATTCATTTCAAAACTCTCAATTTTACACAAAGGTGTCACAATGCAATTATTCATGCATTTCACTAATGAATTGATTTTCGTTTTATCTATTGTTTTTAAAAATTCATTAAATTTGTTATTTTATTGGAATTTCAATGAGATTGCTAATTTTTGAGCAGCAGAGGAGTGAGGACTCTCCAGCTCATCTCAGTTGTCAAAAAAAAAATTTGAATTTTCCTCATTTTTATTAATTTTCATGGAATAATCGAACTGAAATTTCCATTTCCCCTCGATTTCTCGTCAAAGTCTGAAATTCTAATGAAGAATTTTCTTGCATTCTCATCCAAAAATGCCCCAACGTAATCCAATTTATCCTTGAAATTATACAATACAATTATTTATGTATTTCAATAATTAATTAACACAATAAATTTTAAAAACCTACAGTTTTTTAAAAATCGTGAAATTTTCAATTTTATTGGAATTTCGAAGATGAGAATTTCTCAGTTATTTCAATTGTCAACAAAAACCTCAATATTTAATAAAAAATTACCCTAAATTTTGAATCAATTACAAATTCAGGAATATATTTACCTAAAAATAAAAAATAAAAATATTTACCTGAATTTTCCTCATTTCAATTAATTTTCGTGAAAAAATCAAACTGATGTTTCCATTTCCCATTAAATTCCGAATTTCTAATCTCAAATTTCCTTGAATTCTCCTCCAAAAATCCCAAAATAATCCAATTAACTCCTAAACCCACGTCTACACCATTTCGAGTCCACTAAACCCCAAAAACCGCAGAGATTCCTATCCAAATTTCTATTCAACCGTTTCATTTCTTATGATTATTCGGCCCTACTACAATCATAGGGGAGGTTGTGGTAAAACGGGCACTTGGCTTTTCTTAAAATGTTAATGAGGGGTTGAAATGTTGATAAAATTTAATTTTTTCTTCAACACATAGAACAACTCTTTCCCTTTGTGACGAGTCTAAACTGAGCTCAATTGACAAAAATCAATGAAATGGACTTAAGAATAATTTTAAAAAAGTCTGAAGTGTCCATTTTACCCCACCTCCATCCATCCCCATATACAAACGGATGCTATCCTATCCTTTGGCCTTGAACGTTTCTCCATGGCCTCCCCCTTCAAGACTTGAATTTATTTCCCGAATAAATTCGTCTCCCCTTAACCCCTGGACTCTCTTTCAGCCCCCGAAGATGACAATCTCCAAAGCGACCGAGGCGATGGAGGTGGAGATGTCGACATCGGAGGCCCCCAGCACCGATGAGATCGTCGAGAAGAAGGACACGGACCTGCAGACGATCCACGACCTGCGCGAGCACACCCGCCAGATCGAGAAGGCAGTCCTGAACAAGGAGCCCCGTTTCATCCTGCGCGCCCTGCGTGCCCTCCCCAACACCCGCCGCAAGTTGAACCCAACAGTCCTCCGAGGAGTGATCGGAGGATTCTACACAAAGTCAGCAGCAGATCGCGAGGCCCTGCTGGCATGGGTGGAGGAGCCAATGGACACTGAGGGGACCCAAGCAGCGATCCAGCGTTTCAAGAGTTCAGCCTCGCCCCTCCTCCCCGAGATAGACGCCTACATTCACCTGCTGGTGCTGGTCCGGCTGATAGACACGAAGAAGCACGAGGAGGCAGTGCAGTGCTCGGAGGCCCTCGTCCAGAAGATAACAGCAACCAATCGCAGGACAATAGACCTGATAGCAGCGAAATGCTACTTCTACCACTCGAGGGCGTACGAGCTCGTGGGCCAGCTGAACAAGATCCGAGGGTTCCTGCACCTCCGTCTGAGGACAGCCACCCTGAGGAACGACTTCGAGGGCCAGGCAGTCCTCATAAACTGCCTCCTGAGGAACTACCTCCACTACAATCTCTACGATCAGGCTGACAAGTTGGTGCTGAAGTCGACGTTTCCAGAGTCGGCGAGCAACAACGAGTGGGCGAGATTCCTGTACTACCTGGGGAGGATTAAGGCGGCGAGGCTGGAGTACTCGGCAGCCCACAAGCACCTGGTGCAGGCTATGAGGAAGGCCCCGCAGACGACGGCCGTTGGCTTCAGGCAGACTGTCCAGAAGCTGGCGGTCACCGTTGAACTTCTGCTGGGGGACATTCCTGAGAGGCAGATCTTCAGGCAGGCCGCTGTGAGGAGAGCCCTGGCCCCTTACTTTCAGCTCACTCAGGCCGTTCGTCTTGGCAATCTTCACAGGTTTGGGGAGGTCCTGGAGAACTTTGGGCCCCAGTTCAGGGCTGATCACACGTTTACGCTCATCCTGAGACTGAGGCACAACGTCATCAAGACTGCCATCAGGTCGATTGGGCTGTCTTACTCGAGGATTTCGCCGGCTGACATCGCCAGGAAACTGGGCCTGGACTCTGGGGTCGATGCTGAGTTCATCGTTGCCAAGGCCATCAGGGATGGCGTCATCGAGGCCACCCTGGACCCTGAGAATGGGTACATGAGGAGCAAGGAGACGACTGACATCTACTGCACCAGAGAGCCTCTTCTTGCTTTTCATCAGAGGATCACGTTCTGCTTGGATCTGCATAATCAGAGTGTCAAGGCGATGAGGTATCCTCCCAAGTCGTATGGGAAGGACCTGGAGTCTGCTGAGGAACGCAGGGAGAGGGAGCAGCAGGATCTCGAGCTTGCTAAGGAGATGGCTGAGGAGGATGATGATGGCTTTCCTTGAAGATTTTTTTGTCTGGGGAATTATTACTTGATTTTTCAGGATTTTCTTTCGTATCTGATCACTTTTAATTTCTGTATTCAATGCTACTTCATAGATAACAATAAAGGAGAATAAAATGAAGGGGTTTCAATGTCATTGGGTTTATTTTAGAATAATTGAGCAGTTGTTTGTCATAATAATTCTTTTGTCATTGATGTTTTTTATTAAATTATTAGTCATTCTTCATGTTAATGGAGAATACTTCTTTCTAATCGTGAATTTATTCAAAACGGTCCACAGGTCAAAACAGAAAGAAGAATCGAAATACAAAATTGGAAAATATTATTCATTACTTACCATATGTTTAAATAGAAGTTGATGAAGGCAAGTTTCAAACGAAACACGTAAGATATTATTAGAGATTAAAGTAGTACATATTTCAGTACAAGTAGAAATTACAAATGATTGAAATTACATCGAGTTGGAATTCCATAAATTTTATTAAATGAATGCATCATTTCCCCATTAACCTAGTCTTTAAAAAAATACGAGTCGTTGAAAAGTGTTAATTGACATTTTTTGATAAACCTGGAGACTTTGAATTATTTTTTTATCTATTCTTTCCTGCGTTGAATCTACTAGGGAAGGATGGGGCAAAACGGCCCCCCTTCAATCGTCAATATTTTCCGATTCAATAATCCGATTGGGATGAGTTAGAGCTCGTTTTGAAGAATGAAAAATTATCTTCAAAATGAAGTTGAAACTGGGAATTTTCGCAATGTCATTCACAAGTTATTGACAATTGAAGGGGGGCCGTTTTGCCCCACCCTCCCCTACATAATAACGAAATCGAAACAACAAAATTTTCTACAAATATTTTATTCCATTAATACATTTCTTTATTTTCACAAGTACCAGTAATATAATCAATCTTCCATTAGTCAGAAAAACAAGTAATTTGAAAGAACACCTCAATGATTACTTAATTTCTAATGATTTTATTTCGATTTGAGGCACGTCACATCTGAACTTTCCTCCTCCCCTTCCTACCAATAAAACCTTAATTAACGATATTATTTTCAATCATCTACCTATTAAATTCTCGAATACTTGAGATCACTGACCTTCGAACTCCCCCCAAAAACCCCTGAAACCTAAATTTGCGAATTAGTTTCCCTGAGAGATCGTCTGGAAGTGACGGGAGTATCACCTCCAAGGGACCTCCTGTCCAGACGAGGAGCTGGAGGGTCTGGCAGTGGAGACAGTGACTCATCCAAGAGCTCCTCCGCAGGTTCCTGGTTCTCGGTGTCCCCCTCAGGATTTTCCATAACAGGAGGACAAGTCAGAGGCATCCTCACCGACCTTCGTTCGCCGGCGCCCACAGCCTGACTGAGCGAGGCCCTCCCCAGGGGTCTCTCGGCAGCCTTGGCCCTCTCCCTCTCCCCAATCTCCGGATGGCCGGCGTAAACCCTCTTCACGTCCACCGGAACACTCTTGGTAGCATTGAAAGTCTTGTAAATCCCAATCAGCGCATCAGCGAGTTCAAACATCTCGGACCTGAGACTGACGACAATAAACTGCGCATTCTTCGTTCTGTCCTTGATGTACCGCCCGACGATGGAGACATTCTTGAAGTCCAGTGCGGCGTCGATCTCGTCCATGAAATAAAGAGGAGTAGGTTTGTAATGATGAAGAGCAAAAACGAGGGCCAGAGAGCTGAGAGTCTTCTCCCCTCCGCTCAAATTGCTGATGTTCTTCCAGGACTTCTTGGGCGGTCTGACACTGAAGGTGATGCCCTCGGTGAAGGGATCCAGCGAGTCGACGAGCTCGAGCTCGGCAGCGCCCCCCAGAGTGATCATCTGGTACATCTCCTTCAGCTTCGTCGTGATGACGTTGAAGCCAGCGTGGAACTCCTCCGCCCGCCTCCTCCTGGCCTCGTCGTAGGCACATCTCATTCTATTCCTGGCGTCAGTGGCCTCCTGCACCTGCGCAGACCTCTGCATGAACACCCTGTCCTTCTCAAGATAATCCTTGATGGTCTGCATGTTGGGGATCTCCTGGGGGAGCCTCTCCTGCGCAGCAGCGAGATTATTGGCGACAGTTCTGGTGTCGAAGCTGGCGATCTCTTGGTCTGTGAAGTCAGGGAGCTCCTCCCTGGGCTCGTCCGGTATATCAGTGAGCTTGAGGCCCCTGATCCCCCGCTCGTACTTGCTGACCCTCTGGGAGAGCTCAGCAATTGCGCTCGAGCTCGCCTTGAATTTCTCATCCAAATCGATCTTGGTGGCCTTCATGTTGTTCTCCCGCTCCTGCAGCTTGTGGATTTTCTCCTTGAGAGAGGCCCCAGCGACGTCGCGCTCCTCCAGAGCCTTCTCGTGAACCTTCATCTCCTCGATGACGCCCTTGGCCTCCTCCTCGCAGCCCTGTATCTCCCCCTGGATCTCCCTCAGCCTGTCCTGGCACACCTCGATGTCGGCCTCCAGCTGCTCAATCCGCTGGCTCGTCTTCTGTGCGTCTCTCTCCGAGCTCTTGATCCCCACCTGCAGCCTGCAGATCTCCTTCCTGGCCTTGTCGATGGCCTTCGCCAAATCCGAGATCTTCTTCTGCTGTTCCTTGACCCTGCCCCCAGCCAGCTCCTCGATCTCCTCGTTGATGCTCTTAACAGCTTGCTCGGTGGACTGCGAGTCCCTCTGGCTCTCCTCCAGGCCCCCTCGAGCCCTCTCGACGGCCTCCGCCAGCTCGCGCACCCTCTCAGGACTCGACTTGGCCTCCACAACCCTCTTCTCCTGCGCCTTGAGCTGCTGCTTAAGCGAGGGCGCCTGCTCCTGTATCGTCTGCACTTCAATCTCAAATTTATGCCGATTGAGCGTCATCTCCTCGAGGGCTGGCGTCAGCGCCCTGATCTGCTCCTCCAGCGGTGGCTGCTTCATCCTCAGCCTGTTGCACTCCTCGAAGATCCTGTCGAGTTCCCCCTGCAGACTCTCGACGTCCGCAGTCGAGGGCTCGTTCCTCACAACCCTCTGGCCAATCCTCCCCTTGGAGGGCCTCCCCCCACCGCTCATCGTCCCCGAGGTCTCGATCAGCTGTCCCTGGATGGTGACGACTCTCCAGCGCTGCGCCCCATACGCAATCCTCGAGCCCTGCTCCAGGTCCCCAGCGAGCAGGGTGTTCCTCAGGGCGAAGTAGAACGCCGGGAGGATCCTCTCGTCCTCGACCTTGACGACGTCGAACAGCCTGACGACGTTCTCGGGTGTCTCCAGCCGCTGCTGGTAGACCTCCACCAGGTGCTGCTGCTTCTCAAGGGGAATGAAATTGGCTCGGCCCACGTTCCCCCTGCGCAGGGACTCTATGCACCTCTGGGCGGTGTCGACGGTGTCCACGACGACGTGGTCCAGGGCTCCGCAGGCTGTGGAGACAGCAATGTCGTATTTGGCGTCCACTGCCCCCAGGTCTCCCAGCCTCCCGACGACCCCGGGGAGCCGGCCCTCGCGCTTCTCCTGCATGAGGAAGTCCAGGACTGCACTCCGAGACTTGGAGGCGTTCATGGCGGACCTCTGCTCCTCGAACTGCAGTCGCATCCCCTTGAGCTTCCCCTGAGCCTCGAGCTCCTGGGCCCTGGTCTCAGCCAGCTCAGCCCTCGCGTCCTGCAGGCTCCTCTCAGTCTTCGGGATCTTCTTTTTGAAGACCTCCAGCTGCTCCTTCCTCTCGCGCAGGGTCTCCCCCGCCCTCTGGAGGGTCTCCCTCAGCTTCTCCAGCTTTTCCCTCTCGGTTTTCTCCACTGACGTGTAAATCTGGAGCTCTGACTCCGCCAGGTCGAACCTCGCCTTCGCCTCGTTGACGTTTCTCCTGTAGTCGATGAGCCTCTTCTCAAGGTCTGCGCGCCTCTTCATCAGGGGCTCGGTCTTCTCCTTCAGCGAGCCCATCACCACTCGCAGCTCCTCCTCCTCCTTCTCCTTCTTCGAGAGCTGTCGTCTGATCAGCTTCTCGCACTCCTCGATCTCACTCGAGTTCTTCTCCGGGATCTTCGAGAGCTCCTCTCGCCTGCTCTGCTCTCCCTTCACAGCTGACATGTTCGACTTTCTCCTCTTGTTCGTCTCCACGAGCTCCGCGTGCAGGGCCTCGTCCCTCTTTCTGATCTCCTCGAATCTCCCTGATGCTGCGTCGTGCTGCGCCTGGATCGACTCCCACTTTCTGCTCTTCTCCTTCCACTCCTTCGACAGCTCGTTCTTCTCCTCGTGGATTCTCCCCATCTCCGTTTTTAAATCCCTTATGTCGCTCTCCAGGTCCTTGTGGGACGACTCTCTCTCCTTGATGACAGCCAGGGTCTCGAGTTTTTTGCAGCAGTACAACTTGTGCTGCAATTTTGTGATTGTGTTCTCGATCTTCAAGTAGACCACCGCCTCCTGCATCGGCTCCTTCAGGGTGTCCCTCTCCTTCTCTGCCATCCTCAGGCGGTTCGTCCTCTCCACTACTCGCTCCGACATTATCTCGACCTTTGTCACGAGTTTTTCGAGGGGCTCTTTGTACCTGGTGGTGCCGATTATGTCCTCGAGGAACTCCAGCATTCCTGTGTCGTTCTCGCCCTGGCCCTTCGGCTTCATCAGCGCGATCTGCTCCACCTCCCCCTGGAGGATCAGGAAACGGTTGTGGTCCAGGTCCACTCCCTCGTGACGGAGCAGCCGCGCGATCTCCTTGAACTGGACCTTTCGACCGTTCAACTCGTAGAAGGAGGAGCTGTCCTTGAAGGCCGTCCGGGAGATGACGATCTCACTTCCTGGGACTTGCTCGTATCTCTCGGTGGGCCTGTCCAGGACTTTGTGAAAGTGCACTGAGACGCTGCAGCTGGGGCAGTTCGGGTGCTCGTTCGACGAGTGGATCAGGGAGGAGAGCTTCTTCGAGCGGATCTTCGTCGCTCGGTAGCCGAAGACGAAGAGCATCGAGTCGATGACGTTGCTCTTGCCACTGCCGTTGGGGCCCACTATCGAGGAGAAGCAGACGTTGAAGGGGCCTATCTCGACGCTGCCGGCGTAGCTCTTGAAGTTTCTGTTGATTATCTTGGAGATTATCAGCCGGGGGTCCGCGAGGGAGTGCTCGGTCAGCTTGCGCGGCGGCGGGGGGATGTAGATGTCGTCGTCTATGCGAACTCCGCCTTCCTCGTCGGAGTCGTAGGGCGCGCGGTCCTCGGAGTCCAACTCGGCGGGGTCCGCGCGGGGGGCGGGCTCCGACATTCTGGAAGGGAGAGAGGGGGTTGGTCATTGCCGGAGCAGAGAGCCATTCATTAAACATAATTACCGGGAAATTTTGAAGTCAAATTAAGGGGAAGTTACATTTTGAAGTCATTTTTCAATTATTTTTGTTATCGTGAATTTAAATAGTCGAATTTCGAATTATTTTTTTAAGAAATATTTTTGTTAGGACGATTGACGGTTATTTATTATTGTTATTTAATAAATCGAGATACGCGGGAGCGTATCGGCCAAGAACCGGTAAATTTTTAAGTCAATTCGTTAATATCAATCGTAATTTTTTAATTATTTTAGTTATTATGAATTTAAATAATCGAATTTCGAATTATTTTATTAACCAATAGATTAGTTAGGACGATTGACGATTATTTATTAGTGTTATTTAATAAATTATGAAATTAAATGATTAATTTAATGGTAATTAAATTAACTATTTAATTGAATTATTTTAAATTATTTTATTTTATCTCCATAATTACCGGTAAATTTTGAAGTCAATTCGTTAATATCAATCGTAATTTTGCAATTATTTTAATTATCATGAATTTAAATAATCGAATTTGGAATTATTTCATTAACCAATAGTTTAGTTAGGACGATTGACGATTATTTATTATTGTTATTTAATAAATTATTAAATTAAATGATTAATTTAATGGTAATTAAATTAACTATTTAATTGAATTATTTTAAATTATTTTATTTTATCTCCATAATTACCGTTAAATTTTGAAGTCAATTCGTTAATATCAATCGTAATTTTTCAATTATTTTAGTTATCATGAATTTAAATAATCGAATTTCGAATTATTTTATTAACCAATAGTTTAGTTAGGACGATTGACGATTATTTATTAGTGTTATTTAATAAATTATTAAATTAAATGATTAATTTAATGGTAATTAAATTAACTATTTAATTGAATTATTTTAAATCATTTTATTTTATCTCTATTTATTATTTTATTATTTGATTGATTATCTTTGATTAATCGAAAATGTCTTTTACGAAATTAGTATTGTGTTCTCAATAAAAAATTCATCCAATTAATAAAATAAACATTTCCTCATAAAATATGAAGAGGAAGGAATAATAGTCAAAATTCTGTATTAAATTAAGAATCAATGAATATCAATATTAATCGCCAAAAGGGTCTGTCCCAGAAAAAACATCGATATCTCCAGAACAAATGATCGGATTTCGACGACTCAAATTTCATTTTAAAGATTATAAAAAATCCTTGGAAATAAAAGAAAATTTTGACAAGTTTCACTCTGCCATTCTCGAGTTATTGATGATTAAAAATCTGCATTTTTCTTCATTCCCCCAATTCCTCTCCTTTAAAAAATTCTTCCCCCATTTTTCTGCTAAAAACTTCCTCCAATCAACAAAACAACCGTCTCCCCAAAGAACACGAAGAGAAAGGAACGATAATTACCCCCAATTACCCCGATCCAAGGTCTCATTAGCAAAAATTCTATACTGAGTTAACAATTACTGATCATGAAGATTAATTTTCCATAGAGACTGTCCCAAGAAAAAAATCAATATCTCCAGAACAAACGATCCGATTTGAACGACTCAAAATTCATTTTAAAGCTTAAAAGAAATCCTTGAGAACGAAAAAAAAGATGAAAAATTCGACTCTGCCATTCTCAACTTATAAATGATTGAAAACCGCATTCTTCTTCATTCCCGCCAACCGAATTCCTCTCCTCAAAAAAATTCTCCCATTTTTCTGCTAAAAGTCTCCTCCACTCCCCAAAACACCCGTCTCCTCAAACACCACAAAGACACGAAGAGAAAGGAGTGATAATTCCCTCAATTACCCGTACCAAGGTCTCATTATTAAAAATTCCCCATCAAATTCCCCGACAGATTTCTCAAAAATTGAGGTTAGGCGAAAAAACCGGCGTCGAACTCCCCCCAGAGGCCTCCCCCGCCCTCTGGCCCCCCAAAAAAGACCCCCCAACCCCCCAGGAGGGCCTCGCCCCCCCTGACCCTCAGATTTTCCCCCCAAATCCCGGAAAAACCTCGAAAAACCTCATAATTACCTGTTTTTTCTCGCTCTCCCAACCGTCAAATTCAAAACGTAAACATCTTCATCTGCGCACGCGCTCTGCGCACGCCCCCCTCAACATCCTATAGGGGCAATATAACTGTACTTTCCAGCGAATTGGAGCCCACACCACTGCGCACCAGAGGATCCTTCGCGTCGACTCATCTCCCATCGATTTTTTTTTTCATTTTACTCCGGAATTCATCACTCTTTTGCATAACAAAAATCACTCGCGGCACTCGTGAACATGGCGGGAAGTTTATAAATTTATTCCGCGGTATTTCGCTGAAATTCTTCACGCAATTCTCCGATAAACAGTGGGGGGGATCGATTATTGCGAAAGGATGGAATTCTGCGTTCTGCGGGTGACCATAAACGCACGGTTGAGAGAATGATCTATCGCGCTGACATCCTGGGACATTGTTCTGACACTGTTGGCGAGAAAAATTGAGGGAAAGTGTGAGTTGGTCTCACGCGAGTCGACAATAATTATTGTGACTCGACAGCGTGAATTTGATTTTTTTTTTTTTTTTTGGGTTTTTGGGGCTTTCTGAGGAAGTTGCGGCGAATTCAGATGATGATAATGCGATAATTGCGCAATTTCAGGAGGAAGTGATCTTCAAACCCACGTGATGACCTGACCCAGAGAGCGGAGCCCGTGATAACAGTTTAATGAGGGACTTAGCATGGAGCGACTGATGTAATTAGAGGAAAGAGTGCGAATGATGGGATTTTCGTAGGTCGGTGGTGAAGAGACAAGTGTCGACTCCAAATTCTGGAAAAGGTGAGTTCAGTGGAGATTGTTTATATTTTTTATGCATTTTTTTGGACTTTTTTTGCAGCTGAAAAATGTTTTTTTAATGAAAAAACTTTTTCTGATTTTTTGCATTTTTTTTTTGACGTAAAAATCATTTTTTAATTGAATTTTTGCGATTTTTTATTGTTGCAAAAATATTTATCAAACACTGTAATTAAATTAGGTAAGTGTGTTTTTTACTTCATTTAAATCTGTATTTTATTTTTTTTTAAATTTTTTTTTTGAATGTATCTAGATTTAATGAAGATGGTAAAAAAATTTTATGCATTTTTTTGTATTTTTTTCCAGCTGAAAAACAATTTTTTTTAATGAAAAAAAAAACGTTTTTATAATTTTTTAGTTTTTTAAGCGAAAAAAAAATGTTTTTAAGTAAATTTTTGTGGTTTTTTTGGTTTCAAAAATATTTATCAAACACTGCAATTAAATTAGGTAATTTTGTTTTTTCACTTAATTTAGATCAGTGTATTTTATTTTTTGCTGAGTGGATCTAGATTTAATTAAGATGATAAAATTTTCGTCAGGAGCTTTTTTTCATTTTCAGAAATTCCACTATCTTCTTTACGATTTTTTATTTTATAATGCGGAGTAATTTGTGAATTCAAACATTCCCTCGTGAAGATGTCCAAAAATCCCCTTTTGCCTTTTTTTGATACTCAGAACTCAGAAACAAATTCACTAATTGAGATCAGTCTCGGCTAATTCTGAAGAAGAAGAGTTGTAGTTTCCATGGAAAATGAAAATTATAAAATGAGAATTATTCCATTTTATTAAAAATTAAATAAGCCGTTGACATTTCTGAAAAAATCAGAAGGGGCCGTTTTACCCCATTCTCAAAAAAAATAATTTTAAGGTAGAAAAAACCCGGAAAATGTGGCCACAACTGCGGAAAATATTTCGCGCCTGGCCCCTCCTCATCTCGACCATCTTCATCATCTGCATGGTGCTGATATGGTCCCACAGCAGACAGCGGGGCAACGATTACAGCGATGACTACGTATCATTGAGGTGAGTAGAGTTCAGCCTTGCACCAACTGTTGTCCTCGATTAACAGTTACGCCGGGATAATGACACTGGAAATTCTCATCTCCCTGGGGGCAAGTGGCATACCTCCGTTTTATGCCATCCCTCAGACCATGACGAATGAATTCCACGAAAAATTGTCGGATGTGTTCACTTGACAGCTGTTTTTTTCTAGGCTGTTGGACGATCAGAAGGACTACATAGATCGCAGGGGGATTCACGTGGTTGTTGGCCACTACATCGGGGATTCCGTGGATCCCTTGAAGAGTCCAAACGTCACGAAAGGTAAATAACACCTGAAGTCACTCAAGAATTCAAGAATTCGAGAATTTACGTCATTCAAATGAATTTAACATCATTATTCACTAATTTTTATTCCTCTTTAGTTCATTTATTTGTTCATTTTGTTAATTTTTGTTGCTCCTCTTTCAGAAATTGTAAATAAAAATATGTTTAGTCCAAAGCCGTTCAACGGAAAGAATGGAGAGCCTGTTTTAATCTCACCAAAGGACTTTATCGTAATGCAGCAACTCTTCCAGATCAATAGGTTCAATTTAATGGCTAGTGATCGGATTCCCCTGAATCGAAGTCTTCCAGACGTCAGGAAGAAAAAGTAAATTACCTAGAATCCCCTTTAACTGCATGAACAATTTTGAAATTATTATTATTACTATTTTATGCAATTTTTACATCAGGATTTTTCAATTTCCAATGTCTTAATTGTTAATATTGCATAAATTTAGTTTAAAGAATGATGATTAGATTTTTTATTTCATTTTATTCTGTATTTTTTTTGCGTTCTTTCATTCATTTATTTATTTATTTTACTTGTTTAGTCTTATTTTACACTAAACTGATTTCAATAAATGAGTTCAAATTATTAACAGTTGATGGAATATTCAGTGAAATTTCTATTTTCTCAATGGGTTTGACAATTCAACATGAAAAACTGAATTTAATCGATTTCCCCAGATGTTTAAATGGCATTCAAATTCACAAAATTGAAAATGAAAATAAAAAATTAAATAAACGCTAAAATTAAGGATTAAAAAATCCTAACAATGAAATTCCACTCTCCCCTTTAACTGCACGAAATTTTTTGAAATTATTATTATTACTATTTTATGCAATTTTTACATCAGGATTTTTCAATTTCCAATGTCTTAATTGTTAATATTGCATAAATTTAGTTTAATTAATGATGATTAGATTTTTTATTTAATTTTATTCTGTATTTTTTTGCGTTCTTTCATTCATTTATTTATTTATTTTACTTGTTTAGTCTTATTTTACACCAAACTTAACTAAATTCATTCTCATTTCAATAAATGAGTTCAAATTATTAACAGTTGATGGAATATTCAATGAAATTTCTATTTTCTCAATGGGTTTGACAATTCAACATGAAAAACTGAATTTAATCGATTTCCCCAGATGTTTAAATGGCATTCAAATTAACAAAATTGTAAATGAAAATAAAAAATGAAATAAACGCTAAAATTAAGGATTAAAAAATCCTAACAATGAACTTCCACTCAATAATAATTAATTCCAGGTGCATAACGAGGTACTCAAAGCTGTCAGGACTTCCCAAAACCTCTGTGATTATAGTATTCCACAACGAGGCCTGGAGTACACTCCTGCGAACAGTCCACAGTGTAATATCAAGATCTCCCCCAGACTTACTAACAGAAATTCTTCTAGTTGATGACAACAGTGATCGAGGTGAATTAAAATTGCTGCATTTTCCCCGTAAAACCGTAATTGCATTGTTTAAGTATTTATGGTCTCCAGAGTTTTTGAAACAGCCACTGGAGGATTATGTGAAGACCCTGGACGTACCAACTCGAGTTTTACGATCGTACGAACGAGTGGGCCTCATAAATGCACGTCTTCTTGGTGCGAGGGAGGCTGCTGGTGAGGTACTTACATTCCTCGATGCACACTGCGAATGCACGGTTGGTAGGTAAGCTATGTCAACACTGAAATGTTGATTACAGGTATCTCCTCACGTACGAAAAAAAATCATTGAAAAATTTGCGCTATTTTATTAATTGGAAATGTCCAATAGAAAGTATTCTGTAGATTTATTCTATAGGATTTCCTTAAGCGGAATTTTCTAGGTTTTTCCCACATTTTTTTGTCTCTTTTCTTTAAAAGATGCAAATAAAAAAAATGGGAAAATTTGAGGCGAGCAATTTCTATAGAAAATTCTATAGAACTATTCTATAGGCTATATTTCTATAGAAAATCTATAGAAATATTTTCTATGGAAATATAGCTTATAGGAAGTCTATAGAACGATTTTTAGAATTCTTCTTCTATAGAATTCTATAGAATATATTTCTATAGAAAACCTATAGAAATATATTCTATAGAAGAAGAATTCTAAAAATCTATAGAAAATATTTCTATAGAATTTTATATAGATTTTCTATAATTATATAGAAACGTTTTTATAAAAATGTAATCTATAGAAAATATATGCATTTTATATAGAAAATTCTATACAAATATTTTCTATAGAAAATCCTATAGAACTATTCTATAGGCTATATTTCTATAGAAAATCTATAGCAATATTTTCTATGGAAATATAGCTTATAGGAAGTCTATAGAACGATTTTTAGAATTCTTCTTCTATAGAATTCTATAGAATATATTTCTATAGAAAACCTATAGAAATATATTCTATAGAAGAAGAATTCTAAAAATCTATAGAAAATATTTCTATAGAATTTTATATAGATTTTCTATAATTATATAGAAACGTTTTTATAAAAATGTAATCTATAGAAAATATATGCATTTTATATAGAAAATTCTATACAAATATTTTCTATAGAAAATCCATATATGTTCTATAGATTACATTTTCATTAAAAACCGTTTCTATAGAATTTCTATAGTATATATTTTTTATAGAACATTCCTGTAGGTTTTCTATAGAATTTATAGATATTTTTCTACAGGGGTATCTATAGAACATTTTCCAATGAGGCAAAAATTAAATAGAAATTGGAAAAAAAATTCAATAGAATTGTCTAGGAAATTCAATAGATTTTTCTGTGAAATTTTTTCGCACGTGCTTTGGTCCCTGAGCCAAGGAATTAATTTCTGTTCTTTTAGGATGGCTCGAGCCACTTCTTGAGGCCATCTCCAAGGATAGAACCAGGGTTGTGTCACCTGTAATTGATATTATTAATGATAACACGTTTGCGTATACCAGGTGAGCACAATTCAACCCAGAAATTTAATTGTAGAGAATAATTTGAAGAATTCATTGAATTTTCAATTATTTAATGTATTTTTGGCGAAAAGTGACCGTTTTATTAGTAAAAAAAATTGAGGCTTCATTAGTAAAAAATTATTATCATTTACTATTATTATTATTAATTAATGCAGTATTTATTTATTCAAAAATATCCAATTGTTTAAAATTTATAATAAAATAATGAATTATTCATTTCTTAACAGAAAGCTCACGAGAATAAATGGGTTTATTAATTTTTAATAGAAATATTGTTAAAATGATTAAAAATTTTCAAATGAAGAGATATAAATATTTAAAGATCTTTCGAGCTGCACTGGGGTGCATTCAATTGGGATCTTCACTTCCGCTGGCTGACCCTGAGTGGCCCACTGATGAAAGAACGCCGTGAGAACATCGTTGACCCCTTCAAGACCCCCGCAATGGCCGGTGGATTATTCTCAATGGATAAAAATTACTTCTTCAAACTGGGAAGTTACGATGAACAAATGAAAATATGGGGCGGCGAGAATCTCGAGCTCTCGTTTCGTGTTTGGCAGTGCGGTGGGAGTGTTGAAATAGCACCTTGTTCACACGTCGGTCATCTCTTCAGGAAGTCATCGCCGTATACGTTTCCGGGTGGAGTCGGGGAAATTCTTTATGGCAATCTCGCGAGAGTTGCACTTGTCTGGATGGACGAGTGGGCTGAATTTTATTTCAAATTCAATCCGGGTAATTAATATTAATTAATTATCAATTATGAAATTTTTATTTGTGCATTTGTTTATTATTTATATTTTTTAATTTTATTCATTTTCTTTTTTTTATTGATTTAGAGGAAAATTTGGACAATTTATTGAGTTTCAAGTTTTGTTCTTTTTTTTCTCTATATATATTGTTTTTTTTATCAACAATGCACATGAAATGAAAAATTACAGTCATGTGCCGGCNTTTTTTTTTTTTTTTTTTTTTTTTTTTTTTTTTTTTTTTTTTTTTTTTTTAACACGAAAAGAAACATTACAGTCATGTGCCGGCAACTTTTCATTGCATGTTACATGTTATCATTCAACATGAAATATTATTATAATATTATAGTATTATTGAATAATATTTAATAATAATAATATTATTAATAATAATGATTTGAATAATATGTAATATTATTGAATTTTCATTTTCCCCTTAAATTTTTTACTTCAGAAGCCGCAAGACTCCGAGACAAACAGCAAATCCGATCTCGCTTAGAATTACGTGAACACCTGAAATGCAAAAATTTCGAATGGTACTTAGATAACGTCTGGCCAGATCACTTTTTCCCGAAAGACGATCGTTTCTTCGGACGAATAATGCACATACAATCCGAGAAATGCATTATGAAACCAATAGCCAAAGGCATATACGCCCAGCCAGCGGGCTACGCTGCTTACGAGCCTTGCATGAATCCCCCCAATCTCAGTCAGATGTTCGTAATGACTAAATCAGGGATCATTATGACGGACGAGAGTTTGTGTATGGATGCACCTGAACGAGATACCAGGCATGAGAGGCCGAAGGTGAAGATAATGGCGTGCAGTGGGCTCTTCAGGCAGAAGTGGAGTTACGATCAGAAGGTGAGACACACCATCCTTGCATGATTACCCCACATTTCCCATGATTTCCGCCCAGGAGAAATTCAGTAGCAAAGTGGTAAAATCTTTTTTTTTTTTTTTTTTTTTTTTTTTTTTTAAATTGTATTAACCTACAGTGGATTATTTACATTCAGTTAAGATGTACGAAAGTTATAAAGGAAAGTAGTAGTTGCTGTAGTAACATATTTGGTACAAATTTGTTTTAGGTCTTTCACTGTATTAAAAAAAAAAAAAAAAAAAATCTCCCAGTTGAGTTTTTGAGAAATATTTCCGAATCCAAGGGAGATATTTTCGTAAATACAAATTTTCGTAATTACATTTGTTGTAGCTCTCAATCGGCTCTACAAAAAAGGTTATAACAAAAATTTTGTTATCTCCTTTAGATTCCGAGATATTCACTGAAAACTGGTGAATAATCAAAATTGTACAGTTTTAGTACTTTGCTACTGAATTAATCCCTTTTATTTCCGTTTAGACCAGGGGATTGGTTCACACGAGCAGTGGAATGTGTCTCCACGTCAACCCAGAGAGTGAAGAGGGCCCTGTAATAGCCACTTGCAACGGGAACATCGAGCAGCAGTGGAAATTAGAATCGATCGCCTGGAAATGATCGGCAGATCCTCACGAAGAAATTATTTTTTTACGCGTGTAAATACTCACTCCACTGACAGGAATATTTTATCAACGCCATGAGATTAATTTTGTTAATTTAATTGCTTAAGTTTTTTATACGGTGAATAAACGATTGAATTTCAATTTTTGTTTGTGTATTTTATTTTAAATTAAAATGAGTTATTAGAATTTTTATTCGAAGCAAAAGCATGATTAATGTTTGTCAATTGAGGATTTATGATCTCTGATAGAATGATAAAAAGCCAAGAAAGAAATTACTTCTAATGGATATTATTTTATGGATAAAATAATATAATTCCAATTCACTTTATTTAAAAAATAATGAATTCCAACTGCAGTATATGGACTCCACCAAACTAAATGACCATTTTTCAAGACTTAAGTCATGATTAATGGCTCCCCCTCCAGAAATGCCGAGCATTGCTCCCCACAGATCAGCCAATATCCGAAGAATCCACAATTAATTGATTTCCCCAACTGCAATAATCAATCATTCCAGCGCATCATCAACGAATGACGCACGTGGGTGTCTCAATGCTCGGCCCATCTATCCGCAACAGGTGACTCAATAGCACAATTTTCCCCCCGCGACTTCCTGACTCATAATTCCCATTATCATTGATTTTGCGTTCATCATATTACAAAGAGACTCATCAACAAGTCCCTGCGGTTGCGCTGGAAACAGGTTCCTCCACTCCTCTCCNAAAAAAAAAAAAAAAAAAAAAAAAAAAAAAAAAAAAAAAAAAAAAAAAAAAAAAAAAAAAAAAAAAAAAAAAAAAAACGTGGCATCATTATCACTGTACTTTACCTTGTGCAGCCCAATGTCGCCGAGGCAGGCTCCTCTCTCACCTTGAGGTCCGTTCCTGGATTGGGAAAAAAAAAATCTAAAGCCAATAAAGAACACGACAGCTGGACTAATTCGGCAGTGGCATGAGGCCTCATCGCCATGGCTGGTGAACACTCGAATTGACCGGGCAATTGTTGGATGATTCATGCCCGCGAGGCTGGATCACTTCTGTCTCATCATCTACAAGGTTGCGCGCAACCAGCTGCCTCTAATTTCAAGTCCTCGTTAACGCAGATAACGTCTGCGTTCTCATTTGCTTATTCCAAGGAAAAATAACATTGAGAAAAAATGACAATAAAGTGTTTTTATACGGTTATGGGGATTCATGGACCTCGGGCGATTTTCCGCACTTCCTCGAGTGCATATTGTTATTGCATTCCGCGCGAAAATGACGGGTAGATTTTTTTCATTTTTCTGGTGACTTTTGAAAGGTTTAGGGGATGATGTGAAGAATTTCAGACTGAAATCTTGATCCTCAAGGGAAATTTAAACAAAAACTTGACCCTCGAGGAAAATGGAGACAAATCTTGATCCTCAAGGAAAATCTAAACTAAAAATCTTGATCTTCCCGGAAAATCTTGATCCGCAAGGAAAATCTAGACTGAAAATCTTGATCCTCAAGGAAAATCTAGATTAAAAATCTTGATCTTCCCGGATAATCTAGACTGAAAATCTTGATCCTCAAGGAAAATCTAGACTAAAAATCTTGATCTTCCCGGAAAATCTTGATCCTCAAGGAAAATCTAGACTGAAAATCTTGATCCTCAAGGAAAATCTAGACTAAAAATCTTGATCTTCCCGGAAAATCTTGATCCTCAAGGAAAATCTAGACTGAAAATCTTGATCCTCAAGGGAAATTTAGACAAAATCTTGATCCTCGCGGAAAATTTGGACTGAAATCTTGAAAAAAAAAAGTTAAACTACTCGAATATCGTTAAATTCCTCCAATTTTAATTCTTTCATTGCATTTTTTACTCAATTATTCACATATCGTCAAAAAATCAGGAATAAAATAATTGCCTTTGAAATATTAAATGTCTGAAAAAAAATTAATTAATTAAAAAATTAAATAGGCAGTGCGGTAAAAAAATTGATTAATGAATTAATTAATTTTTTCACTGAAATCACGTAGTCGATAGATTTCTGTAAAGACTCAGACTGGAAACCCAAGGGTCGCGGGTTCAACCCCAATCTCCGGCGATTTTCCGCATTTTCTCAAACTCATATTCTCATTATAAAAAATTATTTTAAAAAATGAAGAAACAGTTATTTTTTATTCTGTAAATTCCTCTTCCGCTACGCGAAATGAACCCTGATCCGCCGGTTTTGTTTTAATATCATCATTAAAAGAATTTTTATGGTGTCCAGTGGTTAATTAAGTTAACGAACGACACCTTTTTCCAGTTTCTTGTGGGAATCCTGTTCAACGCTTTATTCGAACGAAATAAACTTCATCTGACTGTTCATAAACTAACAGACGACCCATTCAGAATAACTTCATCATTTATTTTAAATAATTAGAAGGACTATAGATTAATTTTCATAAAAAATATTGTTGAAATTCTATAGGATTTCCTCGACGTGAATTTTCTGTTTTTAAAAAATTGAATTATTCTCCGCATTTCCGCATTTTCCACTAAAAAACGCGCAGTAAAAATACTAGAATTCCCAACAGAACTTCGACACCCATAAATTCTGTTCGATCCGCGAGATTTCTCCGCGAAATTTTTGTCCCGCACGTCAGATTCCTCTCAATCCAAATAATTTTTTTTCTCAAGCCACCAACAACTAATGTGAGAACCGGCGGATTTTTTACTTGGTCAAGTGAGGGTCATAGGTGTGTGAGAACCGGAACACTGGACGACAGCGAAAGACGTGACCGAGTAGACAAATTATGTGTAAAGATGCTCCACGATTTCCGGACAAAGAGGCGCCTTTGAAAACAAAATAATGCCCGAAAGATCCTCCCGCCCCCCTTTTTTTGCGGCAACTAATTAAACTCCATCTCTCGTGAATTCTATTTTTATTTTTCGCTTAATCCTGGGAATTTGAAAGTAATGCGAAGCCCCCGGATTAATCTGCTCATCACGTGCCAAAGTTGGGATGAAGGACGGGGACAAAAAAAATTCGAAGCAGAGCGGGGAACAGCATGGGAATTCACTCGAGCGATGGTACTGGGCTTTCTTGGCCTCAGTAAGGACATGACTTTGACCCACATTCAGATGCAAACTGTGTCGCTACGTTTACATGGGATGCAATTCACCTACAACGTGTTGCAGACACGAGATGAAAAGGGAATTGTTGCATTTTTTTTTATGTGGAATTTATTCTGCTCTCGATTGCAATTGCTCTTTTAAACCATCGACCGCACGGAATGACGGGAGATTGCTAACATTTTACTCGCAGTTTCACTACTCGCGCTGATGATTGTTTTTATTTTACGTTTATTGTCCACGGTCACGTGTTTATATTCTGCTTAACTATTTTAATATTTTTCACCTGTGCTTCTTCAATTCTGCAGCTGAGTTGATTGAGTTTTTTAGCAATAGCGCCGAATCTGGGAGAGATAGCGAAATTTTCGTAATGACCTTTATTGTAGCTCTCGATTTGGTCTACAAAAAAGGTTATAACAAAAATTTTGCTATCGGGCTTAGATTCCGAGATATTTAGTGAAAATTAACTACTAGTAAAAATAGATTTGAGGATATACAATACAGGCCACGTTATAGATTCAAACATTTTTAATTATTAAATTGGTGAATTATTGGTCTGGCGTTGGCAGGCAATATTGCCCGAATGTTGGCAGCCAACATTGGCCCAGAGTTGGTAGCCAACATTGGGCCGACATTACCCCAGTGTTGACAGTCAACATTGGGCCGGTGTCGGCAGCCAACATTGGACCGGTGTCGGCAGCCAACATTGGCCCAGAGTTGGCTGCCAACATCGGCCCGACACTGGCCCAACGTTGGCGCCCCAACATTAAAAAATTTTCACCTTTCCCTGAATATCGCTCTCAAAATGAATAATTGGAGCACAAATAATCTCCAAAAATATGAAATTTCTCCTCCACTGATTTTTCAAATGTTGACCCAGTTTTCTGTTGACTTGTCCCGATAAAATTAGCAATAGAAGGTGGAGACTAAAAACCAACACCCAACCACCTGATGATCGTCCACTCCAGCGAGAGGTGAAAGCCGGACTCTCCTCGTGTTTTTCTCGCACGTTCCTGCACCTTCTTCTCCTTTTTTTTTCCACTCCCCACGATCGTGCCCACCCAGCCACAATCAAGGTTAAAAAAGCCCATCCATTAAATTAAGGACAAATAAAATATAACTCCGCATGTTGTTTTAATATCGAATAAATTTTTCATCAACATTTTCTCATTATTTCAAATATTACAGTATTGACAATATATACAGTCACCACTGGGCTAAACACGTGACTATGCTAGAAGCTTATTCAATCAATAATTGACCAATAGCATGGACACTTGCAGCGATTCAACGAACATTGAGTATCATTTTGGTCCCTCGTTATTAATCATTACTTCCTCTACTTAAAATCATTAATCAAAAAAAAATTGTATGATGCATTTCAGCTTTATTAATTATTACAGGTACACCTGTCAGCCGCACCATTCACCATTATTTATGCACGTTTAATAATGATCCAGGGTCGACAGCCGAGTGTAACTGAAACATTTTCACCTTAAGACTAAACACGAGTCGCCTCATTCTCATTATCTCTTACTTCAATGGCTACTTCTCGTGCCTCTACTTTACGTATAAATCGGTAACCTTGAAAAAATCACAATCGTAGTAAAAACTAATTCAGCAATACGAGTCGGTTGAATTCACAGCGACATTCCCCCCCGAATAATATTATTCGTTCAAACTATTTGTCGTTTATTCGCTGGGGAATTCGCTCGGTTAAAGTAATTAATCTATTAACAGAACTGTATTTTCGTGGGAGAAATTATTTTTTTTTCGCTGGGATCAACCCCTCCACACGGAGGAAAAAATCAGCAAAAATTTCCAAGATGCAGAAGTTTATTCTTCGCCTCGAACTATTTTCTTGGGGTCAAATTAAAATTGAGCCCCAATTTTTCGCCTGATTTTTTTCTCCTGCGGCTGTCGTTTGGTCTTGTCAAGGGAATTGTCAGATTGTTTAAAAAAAATCAATTCAGTGGGGAATTCACTCGTCTAAAGTAATTAATCTACTAACAGAACTATATTTTTGTGATAGAGATTAATTTTTTTCGCTGGGATCAACCCCT